ATTAGCAATATTGGAGATCGAACCGGAAGAGGAGTATGCTGGACCGGACACCCCTAAAATCATGCTCATCCTCTCGTAAATTCTTATTGGAAGCGGATGTTAAATAATAATTCGTTCCTGAACTCAGATTCCTGATCCCGTATAAAAGGATAATCGACCTTTTTGATAGTTGGGGAGCCTTTTTAGACATAGATTTATATCTTTGAATTTGATTTAGAATAAATAGACAATCTTAGGTTTAGTTTTGGTTATATATTTATTTTAGTTAGTCTTATTATCATTTATTTGAGAAACATTGATTGAAACTGAATAGAAACTGATTGAAAGAACTGAATTGATTGAAAAGACTTTCAATAATTTTAATAAGACAACTCTTGGAAGAAAATACCAGTCTCGGCTATTAGAATTCAAGCGTAAAACTACTATATTATATCATCAATTCACGAACTAGCACCGCAAACGTATCAAAATTTGATATGGTTTAGTTAAAACATGGTTCGGAAGATAAAATTTGAACGCAGAAACGAATATGATAGGCTGGAGACTGGGGACTCGTAATTGCTCAGTGGAGAGATCAGGTTGTGAAGCGGGAATTAAATGTAGAATAGTTAACTGTATTTAAATGTTACCTTGATTGAAAGAATAAACAGGGCCCTTCTCCACATTAACAATACTTTATACTTGTCGTATTTGAGGGTAGATGATATACAAATATTAAAGATATAATTCACTTTATGAAGGATAAAGATGAATTATATAATATTGCAAACCAGAAATAATTAGAAACTACATAAACTCTAATATATGAGTACCGTGAATTAAGTGTTGTGTTTAGTTGACAGCATCATATGAGATGTGGAGAACTCGTATACAAATTATACAAGATCCTCACACCTCATTACTGCTGAAATAATATAAAGTAGAGTAGGAAACGAATATAGAATAAGTGATGATTCTTATACGAGATTAGCTACCTCGTATAGGGCTGAACAGGTTGTCATTTAGGATATATAGTTTACTTATTTTGCTATAATACGTTACTATATGACATAGGATATATAGTAGAATTAATATATGGACATGCAGGATATATTGATTCAACACCAAGGTATAATAGGTTATAAGTACTATTCTCTGCCTTCGGCATAAAGAATGATTACAAGATAATAGTTTGTGATCGTCCTTTACAATAACTGTTCACTCAACTCAAACACCACGCACGAATACCATTTTCCTAATTAATACTATTTTCCTGCAAGCAGTGCTACATAATAGTTAGCACGGGAAAATAGGTTAGTTGCATGATCACTAGATCAAGCCATGGATACGTTTACAAGTCCACCCGCTCCGGGTAGATGCGTAATCTCCTCAAGGGAGAATTCTATTCTTTTACGGTTCAGAAGATGCACGTCTTCTTTGAGTATAATAACTCAGCTGTCAGTTTCTAGGTTCCGCAATATGAAGAAGATATTTAAATTTTTGCAGTAGATATTTTTCTTCCCTTGGAACTTAACTTGATTCAAAATAAAGACCTACTAGTTTGATCTCGTTAACTTTTTATTGTTTTAACTAAGTGATATTTAACTCCCAAGTCGTCAAATACCACAATACTAAGTTGAACCTGGACTCTTGAGTTCCAATCTAAGTTATATACATAGCAAACTGATGCGTGGCATTAAAAATTGTAAGAATTCGCCTTGCGAATTAATAAGTTCCACCCGTAATAACCCAGCAGTCCGGCGCAAAATCACGTATACTATTGAAGACAAACATTTAATACGGACTTATAAATGTTACTTACATAACTACATAATCAATATACATATTTGTTGGATCGGTAAGATCAAAATAAAATAAAAGTAGGAAATAAACAAGTGACAAGTCTGTGAAAACTCTGGAAGGTTCAAGTTTATTTCTTTCTTTTCAAATCAAGATGAAGTTCGTTTAGATGAACAAAATCAACTCGTATTTATATCTTTTACGGAATGTGTGGTATTCGCTAGCTTTAACTACAATATAAAAGGTAAAGAATAACACAAGAGAAAATAAACACGAAAGCTTAACGAAATCAAACCACCGTCTTTATTTCTCTTTCCAAAAACAAACTCAAGAAAAAAGAAAAAGAAAACTAAAATTACTGCTATTAATAAAGACTTATTGTGTTTGCTGTCTACGAAATGATTGTATCGGGATCTATAGCTGACACTGATGTATTATGGTCAGATAATACTCAGTGAATCAGAGGTTTCCGTAAAAGAATAGGTCTTCCCTTTAAGTGGATAATTACTCGTCCATCCCAGAGCGGATTGATTTGTAATGTGCTATCCTGGCAGATCCAGGGCGATCATGCAGCTACATCTATAATCCAATATCTATCGGCCACCAGTTGTGTAGCTCAGATACTGTGGGAATGATTATAGATGTTAGCTAGGAAGAGATATTCGTGCGTGGTGTTCTTTTGATTGCGTGAACAGTTGTTGTATTAATAAAGAGTGATTGAGCCTTTTTATCTCCAACCATACTTTATTTCCGGAACAGGGAGCAGTACCGCGACCTACTATATTCTGGTTGTTGAATCAATATATCCTACGAGTACATATACCAATTCTGCTATATACCTAAATGTCATATAGCCATAGATAATTTAAGTAAAATATATTTCATAAAGATAACCTGTTCAGATCTTATGTGAGGTAGCTAATCTCACATAAGAATTATCCTTAATCCATATTCTTTTCTTATCCTATCTTTATTTGTTATACATTTGATCTGAGGTTCAAATGTATGCAATCGAACACACCGCTTACCAAACGGGAACGAAGAAATGAGCAGTACTCATATCTGAGATCAAGTTTTATTTTACATTTCGTTAGACGTTTTGAGTGATTTACTCAATATAATATATTGCCATCTTGCCTCAAATACGACAGAATGGGTATGCAGGCCTATTCACCATGGACTATGTTAACTGATCTTGTAACTTGAGCTAGTAACCAGGAGAAAGGACCAATAAACACCAGCGACAGGGGCACCGAAAGAGAGTGACGTGTTTGGTGAGATAATAACTACAATACTCGAGTACGTACAACCAGGTAGAGAATACATTCTACCACGGTCTATCTATATTGCATGTAATATAGGTTATGTACAACATAGAACAAGATAAAGGCCTAAGTATAATAATCACACAATAAGCATCTGAACCTGAAATTAGTGACTAGCATACACGTCCTCAAATAATATAACTCCCATTAAACCTCACAGAGTAAATAATCTTTCTACTTCATCTGAAGAACAATAAAGACACTTAAGTTCATAGTCATCGACTTACAACAGTTATCGATTTTAATTAAGCAAATACAACAGAGAGCAACAGAAATGTGTAACTCGACCTTTACTGGTCGGACTTAGTGGTAGCGGTCAATATAAAGATTGCCCTATAGGACAACAAGTGATTGGGTATGTATACTGGTTCTGAATGATATTAATAGCGTCCATTATAGGAACCAGTAGAGAAGAGGATATAATCGACATGGGCATTCAATAATTACCATAATCGTAATGAAGATTATAAATTTACAATAAAGTGATTACCGAATCTAGTGTACCTCCTCTACGACCTTTAATAGGTGGAGTCTGGAATAGATTAATGTCTGCGGAATAGCAAATAAAGACATCTCTGTAATGGCAGAGATCTATTGAGTATGCTGAAAGATCCTTGCCTGGAGCGAGACTAGATGTGGTGTTAAGAATGCTCTGAACAGATAAGTTACAACAGACTGGGTTAACACTTATGAAAGATTTATTAACGTATTAACTGAACACAGAACAGATATAAATAGGTAAAGCAGATAAGACAGATCAAAACACTACTGAACTAAATATGAATCTGGGATAGTATTTTGTGATGCGTCTGAAACGTATCCAACGAGACAGATGGTCATTACAATCTCACTCTATAAGGTAATAGCTATAGAGGCTAACAGAAACTGGATAAGTCACCTCAATCATCAATGTAAATTATAGACTGAAGTGCCAATAGATCATGCACGTGAAGTAACCTGCCATTTAATTATAACTATCAATAACGAAGCGTACTTCTGTTTTATTATGTAATATTCAGCAGTGATATCTTCATCGATACAACATAAATATACTTTAATAAATGAGCTTTCTTTCATATAACAATCTTATATCTTAGTTAAGAAACAGTACAACAAAGTCTATACTGGAAAACCAACCATAGCTATTTCACGGACTACTGCTCCTGACGTGTCATGTAAGCAATTGGCGACGAATATAAAAATAGAATGGTAAGACCACTTAACCAATGTCCGCTTACTGACAGATCATTGTGAAAGAGTGAATTATTATTGAAGTACTATGTACTGTGGATATGTAAACCTCATATGTAGCATTTGTAGATCATAATTAATATCAGTCGCTGTATTTCAACTGTGCAGATTCTAGAAGAAGTCTAATCTCGTATTATGGCTATGGTTACTCCTAATGTCATAACTCCGATCATTATGTAAGAACTCTGGCTCATATATACAACAGCCTTTAATTAAGCACCTCTTCTCAGCAAAGCGAAATTCTGAGGTGAGATTCCGAGAAAGCAGCAATTAACAACATGGGATGTCAACATCCTCATAGCATACAAGAAGGCTTCGATTATCTTCGACAGCAGAATGTAAAGGCAGTGACCTACTAGTCGGCAAAAAGATCACTCAAGAGGAGCGCGACGGGAGGTTGGTGTTACCTATAGCCCTGAACAGAAGTTACAAAAAAAGGATAAGAATACTGTTTATTGACACAAGAATAAAATGTAATATCCAGGAGGAACAGATAAAAACACTAAAGGTATTAAGATTGAGAGGCAGGCCATATTTATATACTTACCAAGCGAATCATCTCTAATGAAAGGCAATTCACTCATTACACAGAACTATCTCCAAGTCAGTTACAATTAACGACAATTCTACTCTTCTACCACGCGACTATGTGGTGGCATATTGGAAATCGGAAGGTTGCAACATCGAATTATTACTTTGAAGCAGAAAAAACGCGCCGCATATATCTGTGCCCATTCCAGATTTCCAAAAGAAGGCGAGGTCGAAACTGTTCCAATGGAAGCAGTTGAGGATGATATTGTGTACCCAATTGGAAAGAACATACTTTCTTTTTGGCATATCTTTGAATCAAGCATAAAACTACCAACTCAGTTCGATCAATCACTGTTGCGAACTGGACTAAATCAGCTATGGCGAAAATTGGCATCAACATCGACAGCTATAATCCCATCCTATACACGCTACTGCAAGTACATAAGCACTAGAATCAGGTCCTTCTATCCAAGGATATCAAAAAGCCCGTAAACTGGAGTTTCAAAATAAAATATTGAACAAAACTACGATGAAACATAACTTTTATTGAATAGCTTGAAACCCAATGGACACACAGAAACTGCATATCAGAAAATTGCCCTGGGCAGGTCAAAATACGTGATGGAATTAATAAACCCTGAAAGGGGACTGGGGAATCGGCATGCTGTTTTATGGGTTGAGTGGGGAGTTGGTTTAACAAATGAGAGATGGAGTCAATGACAGTTGTAGGAAGTTGCAACTACGCTCAATAAAGCTCATTGGGAGCCAAAGAATGGGATCAAGAGAAATGTTAGGGCGGCATTGGTTCATTAACTTGTGCTGGACGCTGAACGGATGGCATCTAAGTTCTCTTGACGATATGCTTTGATGGCCTGGTGTAAAGCCTTCCTATCTCGAAACGGTGAATGCCTTCTCCAAATTAGTGGGACTTATTTATCTGTAGAAACTTTTTAAGCCTTATGTCTAGGGGAGACAACAACATTCATTGAGGCGAGAACAAAATGTACGAGGTTTTCCATGACCAGCCCAAACCTCTTGAGCAATATGTTACATATTTTTAGCCCATTACATCACACAATTACATCGAATACTACAATTTTTGCAATAGAGTATTTGATGGCTTCTTTCCCTCCTGAAATAGCGCTCTACATCGGAATTTCAAGCTATGATAGTGATCATCACCGGTGGATTTATATACCTTTGACGTATTCACCTACGCTATTAGGTGAACAATTTCAGACTTGCACTTTCTCTAAATCATTATTCATTGTAAATAGATATCAATGAGACCCAAACTTCAACTTGAACAAATACTATAAAATTCTTTGTTTTACATAACTTAAACCATTATAATTTCCCATTTGATAAACGCAATATCCCCAGGTTCAAAAGACCTCTTGTACTTATTATAAGTATGCCTAGAGAAGTGGAGAATACATTATCATTCTGATTAATAAAATGTTTGCAGTATAACGCAAGCTTCCAATAGGCATAAACAGTGTAAGGGATACGTACTTGTCGCTCATCTTTCGATTGATTAGAGCTTCGGCTTCGTAATAAAGCTTGGTCTATGTCATTTGATTCTACTAAAGAATCTAACATTTTTTGGATAACAATTTATCAGTCTATTACTGTCTAATGTATTGGAATGGCGTAAATGTTATCTGTTTTTGTATGCTCGACGGAAATCTGCAATTGCAGAGCTTTCAACTCAATAAGATCTGTATTTTAGCTCTTTGATAGAGGCTCTCAAAAGGAAAATATGTAGAAGAAAGGTTATTTAGACTGTTATGCTCCCAGTCCTAAAGGTTTTTTGGACTGAATATCTGCCATCTGTCTACTTTTTTTCCAAAACAGATCGTCAAGTCGGAGTGGACTTCAACTGGAGATTTAGCCACTGCAACAAATAACAATTTGATTGGTTTTTAATCGATTGAAAAAGATGAACTCCATTAGTATGTCATCAACCCATGACGAATCCTTTGTTATTTGTAGTATTAAAAATCTTTTTGTTTTACTACACTCACAATACCTTTGTTTTACGAGTACACTCACTATCATCAGTACCAAGCAGAAGATGCAATAGTAACAGCTCTACTATTGCTATTGTGAGGATTATTTCTCTTCAATAAATGGGAGCTAAAGTTAGTAGTAATCAAAGGATTAACACTACATTAGTATATGATCAGGTTATATGTTAACTTATAAAATGGATGTATGGCTGTCTGTCGGAAAATATCTATTTTTTTTTTTTATTTTTTACTTTAGACGATTGCGCAGATTTCTACCTTGTATAAGTTTCTGAAAGAACGGCTGGTCAATAAGGCCTGAGTAACCTTACATCGTTTGTCTTCGTGTCTCTTTGACATCCTCTATGGCTTTTTTTGATTAGAGGTGGGTAACGTAGTCTTGCGGGTGTCCTCCTGGGTAGCTCGATTCACAAGCTACGGGTTCTGCCTTCAGTCAAAAGTGAAACATTTGTGCATCAAGTTTATGGGTAGCATGGAATTGCGGGTGTCCTCCTGGGTAGCTCGATTCACAATCTGTGTGTCCTGTAGCACAATATGTTTCGGTCAATACGATGTCTCACGGTTTCGAACAGATAATAGGCTTTCAAGCATTATTGATCAGCTTCGATGATTAGGTAATATGTATATATGCGTGAATTAAATCACTGCTTATTAGCAAAGATACCTCATTTTTTTGATTTTCCTCCCCTCCTTCTTTAGACGATTGCGCAGATTTCTACCTTGTATAAGTTTCTGAAAGAACGGCTGGTCAATAAGGCCTGAGTAGCCTTACATCGTTTGTCTTCGTGTCTCTCTGACATCCTCTATGGCTTTTTTTGATTAGAGGTGGGTAACGTAGTCTTGCGGGTGTCCTCCTGGGTAGCTCGATTCACAAGCTACGGGTTCTGCCTTCAGTCAAAAGTGAAACATTTGTGCATCAAGTTTATGGGTAGCATGGAATTGCGGGTGTCCTCCTGGGTAGCTCGATTCACAATCTGTGTGTCCTGTAGCACAATATGTTTCGGTCAATACGATGTCTCACGGTTTCGAACAGATAATAGGCTTTCAAGCATTATTGATCAGCTTCGATGATTAGGTAATATGTATATATGCGTGAATTAAATCACTGCTTATTAGCAAAGATACCTCATTTTTTTGATTTTCCTCCCCTCCTTCTTTAGACGATTGCGCAGATTTCTACCTTGTATAAGTTTCTGAAAGAACGGCTGGTCAATAAGGCCTGAGTAGCCTTACATCGTTTGTCTTCGTGTCTCTCTGACATCCTCTATGGCTTTTTTTGATTAGAGGTGGGTAACGTAGTCTTGCGGGTGTCCTCCTGGGTAGCTCGGTCCACAAGCTACGGGTTCTGCCTTCAGTCAAAAGTGAAACATTTGTGCATCAAGTTTATGGGTAGCATGGAATTGCGGGTGTCCTCCTGGGTAGCTCGATTCACAATCTGTGTGTCCTGTAGCACAATATGTTTCGGTCAATACGATGTCTCACGGTTTCAAACAGATAATAGGCTTTCAAGCATTATTGATCAGCTTCGATGATTAGGTAATATGTATATATGCGTGAATTAAATCACTGCTTATTAGCAAAGATACCTCATTTTTTTGATTTTCCTCCCCTCCTTCTTTAGACGATTGCGCAGATTTCTACCTTGTATAAGTTTCTGAAAGAACGGCTGGTCAATAAGGCCTGAGTAGCCTTACATCGTTTGTCTTCGTGTCTCTTTGACATCCTCTATGGCTTTTTTTGATTAGAGGTGGGTAACGTAGTCTTGCGGGTGTCCTCCTGGGTAGCTCGATTCACAATCTGTGTGTCCTGTAGCACAATATGTTTCGGTCAATACGATGTCTTTCACGGTTTCAAACAGATAATAGGCGTCAAATCATTACTGATCAGCTTGGATGACTAGGTAATACATTTATTTGTATGAATCATTGCTTGTTAACAAAAATGCCTAGTACCTATCTTTAGATACGCTTCTTGTGAATATGATCTTGATTTTCGGCTAATTATGATGTAGTGCGATCTGAGTTCTTGAATCATTCCTTTTCCTCATACGCCTTGGAAACGTGGTGGGTTGGATACTTCGAGCTATCATTCGGGCAGCAAATAGCAAAAATATTGGATTCAAATCTACCCCTTCCTTCTTTTCCGCAATATTTCTGATCAGTCGTTTTCCTGTTATATCCCACCTGCCTTCTTGTTTTGTCATGATCTTCTGTTGACGTACACCAGTTGAAGTTTTATAAGAATACACAAAGCAGTCTCCTGTATTGTTGACGGAACAATTACGATAATGATGCTACGGTCGAACTGTTTATGTACGTACTGGTCGGGTGGTGAGATAGTTGACGTATAAATAAACATTATTATCTTCAAGATTGTCATTGATAAGATTGAAACTCCCAATATCCGTAATATGTTGTTTATTTTTGTACTTGTTGAATGTTATTATCGCGCAAAATTTAGTGGAGTATTGGTTTTTCGGGTCTCCCTCTCTCTCAATATATCAGTACCCACTTGCATAAAAACTGCCGTATTATGCTCTCCCTCCAATAAATCAAAGCCTTGTAGAGATCATCGCAACCATCTTCTCTTTTTTGTTCTCATTCTGATTTGGAACTCGTAAAACACTTTTCTCACTACTTCTAACAAAAAGTAACTATTGAATGGTAAGTGTAGCAGCAAGTTGTTCATTGAAACATGGGAATGATAATGAAAAGAGAGGAATGACTTATTCTGACATTATTATTATTATTATTATTATTATTATGAAAGGTGCGAAGCAAAGTACAAAGCCATCAAAACATTCATTTGAAGGATGGTAATTATGACGGTCGCTCCACTCTGCCTGCAAAGCTTATCGATGGTTTGGGTATCCTAAAGACGTACAACAACATAAAGATGGTAGTTGTGGAGTCATCAAGGTTTAAAGCAAAAAAATAACAACTATTTTTGATAACTCATGAATACAATAAACTGATAACCAATTTGTCTCTTATGAAAATCTATAGTGGGAGGCTTGAAGAACATACAACCCATAGTCTTGAGGATTCACTCAAAATTCTCGAGGGCAATGTCGCTTCTTTGAGGTGGCAGGCTTCACACTACGAAAATGCATCGCTAGAAACGTTTAAGAAACTCGGTGCCTATGGCCTTCAAATCATCAAAACGCAAGTGACGTTAAGCAAGACGACAATTCACGATAAGAACCGTTGGAAAAATATAGAAATGCGTTCAGCACAATTACCCAGAAGCTGGGATGATAGGTTGATATTGCTGGAGTTTTTAGAGTTATTTGCAACCCTATATGTAAGGGCAAACGGAAGCTGAATGATGACTATGGATAATGATTGTTGCATTCGGAACAAATATAGTAATTATACATTCATAGCTTGAACTTGTACCTGCAGAATGTCATGTCCCGATCACTGTCTATGGCATCGAAATACGAGTGAGAATTAATAAAGTAAAACACAGCATAAACGGCTGTCAACTTAAACTTGAATTGTCAAGTAATAAGCAAATGTTCACAAGTCAAACTAGTATCAGATCCATAACAGTGTAAGAACACGCCTTCACTAATCTCTCATTAAATCCATTAGTACTCATTGGTTGCAACTACATCTTCCTAACATCCTCTATAAGCTTAGTCCATTCTTTGAAAAATATATAAAGCCTTCATGTTCTCAAAATTGAAATAAAAATTATCTGACTTTTTCGGTCTCGTTCTATCTTGGGTCTATTAAATACTTAAGAATATCTCACAGAGGGAGTTGAGAGCAAGATACTTAAAGAACGCTTGAACATGAATCGACCTTTCGGTCCATTGGTTCGATCATTCATGAATTAATCGGATTCAACAATACCCAAGTTCTTACTTCATCTTACCCACCACCATACCCATCGTACAGAAGTTTGTAGCTCGTCTTACCACACATTTATGATTTTTTTTTCAATTATAAACGTAAATCAAATCATGCTGAAAAAGGTTTATGGTATTATCTGATCTTTCCTTTTCACTCCATTCATCTTTACACAAGAATGAACACAACACAATTGTGCTAATACCTAAACCCAATTAAATACCTTTTCCTTACCTTCAAAATATCTATTCACTATTTTCAGGAGGAAACGATGTTGTGTCTAGAGTGGAGATTTATTCAATTATAATAAGAGCCGAGTCTTTAATGGAAACCACGATTCGTATTTCATTCATCCACTTCTCTCCTAAAAGCATGTTTACTTGTACTTACGGTGATCTCAAGTGGTTGATAGCTCGTTTCATTCACAGTGTTTGTTTAAGATCGTTATACCTAAGAGCCCTATGCCTAAAGAAGTCTTCTGACTATATCGATGCAAACAAAAAAAGAAGTTTAAAGTGAAAAAAGATGCAAAACTGCAAGGTGATACCATTACTCATCTCTCATATACTGATATGCCTATATGATTTATTGTATACAACATAGGTTTGCTTGAGTATTTAAGAAAGTACTGCAGTTCGTAACCACTTCATTCACAGTAGATGCATTGGTAGCTTAAAATTATCTTTAAGGGACATGTTATAGTTAAATTTTTTGTGATTGCTATAATTGCAACCTTTGTTTCAAAGGAACAGAATAAAAAAATGATTATAACTGTATCTAAACATGCAATGCACCATCTAGTCTGATCACAGAACCATTCAACATCGGTGTATCTATCACGCGTAAAACTAAGTCTGCAAACTCGGTTGGCTCTCCAAGGCGTCGAGGAAATAGAGCTATAGGCGCATTCTTATTCGAGCGGTCCACAATGGGCGTATCTAATGATATCAATTACACACACAAAAAAGATAAGTACGGAAAGCTGTGAAAAGCGGTTGAGTGCGGTGAATATGGACGAATAAAAACACTACCAAATACTCCGGGCGCTATACTCATGACGCGTATACCGAAGGATGAGAGTTCCTTAGCTAAAGGAAGAGTCAATCCCGTAAGACCAGCTACATCAAATTTTGTAAAAAGTGTTAGTAAATTTACTGTTCCTACATGCTGAAACTATGCGTTATTTTCTTTCCATCAGTTTACCCTTCGATGTACCGTAACCTACAAAAAGGCCATCCAATCCCAAAATAGAGGAAACAGTTATAATAATACCTCTCTCACCATCTTTATTAAATGGATTATTTTTCAGCAATATCTCGGAAACCTTTTGTGCAACACAGTACGCGCCCAGTAAATTGACTCCAATGACATGTTCAAACTGCGCATAGCTTGTCAAAACTTGATCTGGACCATAACCAGTTATTGTCGCTGGAGGCGTGACAATACCACTGCTTATAATAACACCCCCTAGCTTTTTTGAAGAAAAGTGCTCTAGTGTTTTAGCAATGGCATGGGCTACATCGGCCTATATAATAATGCATTAAATGTACGATGTTTGTCAATTTATGTTTAAGAATATAGTGATGATAACCTCTGAGTGAATCACTTTTTGTTACCTCCACAGTGACATTGACAGACCCAGCGACGAAGCATCTATCTTCCCCGAGTTCCGAAGCAATATTTCTGGACGAATCAACATTTATGTCAAAAATCTGTTGGAAATAATGGGTTACTAACTAACGAAACTTAAGAAGCCTTTTCATACTATTTCTGTAGGCTTACTGATACAAATGCTCCTTGAGACACTAAGGTACGAGCCACTTCTTTGCCTAAACCGCTTGCGCTATTATGTGTAACATTTATTAGTTTTGCAATATGATGTGTCAAAAGATAAGATGATAGTCCACCCTCCAGTAACAATGAATGTTAAGCCGTCAACTTTCATCTATGTGTTAGTTTTGTTGAATATTCGAAAAAAAATAGTTTATTGGTAAATCAAGTTCTTAGATAGAGCTAGTTTATATATAAACTGGTATATTGATTACTCTTTTGTTCGCTAAAAAGGGCAATGGGGTTTGATGTGTCCCACGGGAATTTAGACTTTGAAGCCAAGGTTACGCATACATCTCAAATGTTTTTCGACAAGCTCTTTACAGCTTTCATGTTCGTCCCCATTAGCCAAAACACAGGCATCTCTTGCTTTTTTTGTTTCGGGACATGAGCAGCAAGGTCGTAAAGTTTTTCCATCCGAGTCTTGCGAATCACCTGTTCTCGTAGTCGTGGTGATCATTGTTGTAATAGTGGTTTCAGTTTGTGGCATTGTTGTTGGAAGGTAGAAAATCAACACTTCTGCGTGCTATAAGAAGTATGAATAAATTGCTGAACAATCAATGTAAGAAACTAAATACCTCCCTACTATTTATATGGAGACAACAGTGGTTTCCACCCCTGAAACCGAAGAAAATTCGATGATTTCATCTTTTGGTAATTGATTTTATAGACATCAAGGTATTTTTAATGATAACTACTCTTTAATTTTCCCTTTACCATAGAACTTTACATAGCTGGTAATACGATATCGCATCTTTTGCATTTTACCAGCTTTTGGATATCATTGTTGACCATTTCAACCAATGAAAAACGTGATTAACCACCGCGAAGCATCATAGCTATTGTGTTCTCCTTTCATTATCTTCAAATAATGTTGGCACTGCCGTATTTGACTGTAGATGACATACAAATATAAAAAGACCATAATTCACTTTATTCAGGATCAAAGATGAGTAATTGCAATATTGCAGATCAGAAATAGGTAGATATTTTTCTTCCCTTTAGAGTTGTTGACTTCGATTAAAATAAATTTGATTTCGTTAAGCTTTTAGTATTAAGTTTACGAGCTATTTACACCCAACAAGTAATCAAAAACCACAGGCGCGCTGCAACTTTATCTATTTTTTTTTGGATTTTCAAATGTATTGTATAATACTAGTTCGACATACCTAAGAACACTACAGTAAACTGTCTGTGGCAATTTCTATTTGCTTACAGAAACAGATGCATGGCTATTTGAGCTAGCGTAAAAACAAATGAATTCGGAGGGTCCAAGCCAGAACCCAGTACGCTTTAAGTAGCTGAAAGAACCAAGCCCTTTTCAAGTAAATTATCTTGAAAGCCAGGATTGGAGCATATGCCGTTCAAAAAATAATGAATGGATGCTCAAACCGCGTCGGTAATATTACGACTATAGATGAGATTCAGCTGATAAAATCAGCGTTTCGGATCTGATAAATAATTTGCTCACTTACATTGGGGACGGTTGGGAACGGAATGCTCAATTTTCATTCCCCCCAGTGGGAAACACCTGTTAATGTAAGCACAGAGGTTGAAATCCTTTAATACGAAGAAAGGAGAAATTTACAATCGAAAGATTTATACTAGGTTCCGGCCATGAATTGAACGTTAAAAAGACATAGCGTAAACTTGAAGTGAAGCTTACCATCAAAAGAAGCGTCAGTGCTATTGGTTGAGTCAGCAAAATAGACTTATATTGATAAAGACTTGCAACCAAGAATTTCTGCAATATTACATACAAAGCTTAATTACAACAAAAATTATTAGCTATAAAGGTTCTCTTTTTGTAATGTACCGCCTGCTCAATAACTCACAGGCGGGATGATAAGGCTAGGTGTGATAATACTTGCATTGTTGGGAAGGACGAAAAGGACCCTTATCGAAGACATAGATTGTAAAGTTGTTAGCATATAAGTGTAAATCAAATGTTTCTCTCTATTACGATATAATCACTGGTTTGAATTGTTATGTAACCTTAGATTGATAATTTGATTATACGGCGGCCAGGAGTGCTTGCTGTACGAGATTTGAAGGGAACGCAATCTTCTCAATCCCGCCGCGTTATTTCTGCTAAATATGGGAGATTCTCTACCGATGACGTCGAGTTTGAATTTCAGGCGAGCAGGCATCAAATAAATAATTCTTTTTAAACAAAAAAACTACCCCACATTTTTTGATCTTCAACTTAATAATGTCGTCCATACTCATCAAAAGAACAGCATTTGCATGGCGATCAATGGTCAATAAACCAACAGTGCTGTCCAGCACTGCACGATTATATACCACTGAAGCAAAAGACCTGCAACATCTTGAACGTCAGCCGATTGAAACAGTCGACAACCTTTCAGGAGCACCAGGTAAAATAGATACACTCAGCAGAAAAAATATTGGTTATAGAGAATACAACAGCCTGCCAAACTAACAAAACAACGATACATCTTGCTATACATAAAGAGGCCTTATTGGATCGACAAGTTCGTATCTTTAGACCTGCACGAACATCAGCACAACAAGGAAAGAACGGAACGAGACTCTGGAGAATTGAGTTCGATATTCTAGAAGATGGTAATCGTTGGGAGAATCCTCTCATCGGTTGGGCTTCGAGGTATAATCAAATACAAGGTTATAAATGAATTGGGTTGATTTTTGGCTGATAATATGGTTGGGCTTTTTGTTGTAGCTCTGATTATGAGCAAGCATTAACTATGAAATTCTTCACCAAAGAAGCTGCTATTAATTTTGCTGAGAAACAAGGTAAAAGCAAAGGCAAAAATGTAAATTACAGAAATAGTGGCTTATTCCCTCTGTTTATAAATGTAAAGGCTGGACTTACTATGTTCAAGAACCACACGAACGTAAATTCGTTAAGAAAGCATATGGTGATAACTATAAATATTCAGAGAAAAAGTTGAGACTCATCAAGTGCAAATAGAAGAGTAATGAGTTCGTCTCTGTTTCGAGTTTCTTTTTTGTTTTATTTCCTATGCTTCATTCTGAAGAAACGACTAATAAATACCGCAATATACTACATCAATGTCTGTTTTAATGAACAAATTTCAGATTACTTTCCATTATAGTCTGTCTCAAAATAAAGAAATCTTGCTGTATCTTCAAAAACCGCCTCCTACACGTGCCAAACATTGCCAGCATAGCAAATTTCAATTTCATTCTGAACAGATTCAAGCACACCGGTTTCAATATCCTTTTTCTCGCATGAAGGATTATTTTTTGAATATCAGCATGATGAGCAGAGACTACCTTTTCTTTAATGCCACGAAACAAAAAAATATCTTTATTATGCTGAATATAGATCAGCATATGCTATTTTTGAGAATAAAAAGTGGACTAAATCTTAAGGAAACGCACAGATTGAAACTCTATTATTAACTAAACCATGAATCTTATATCTCTCCGGCTTACTGACAATACTTGCCGTCGTAAAAAATATTTGACCTGTCGTAGCAGTTGTAGACGGATCACATACTAAGTGTAATACTTATGGCAAGGTGTATTCGATTTGTGAAAATGGGTTCCATTTCATGTGATTTTCGAGACAGTTCAAATGTTACTATTGTTTTGAAACTAGTTTGTACCTGGCTTGATCCATCTTGGAACCGCAATTTGCGTTTCGAAATAGATGTTTAATGTGGGCAAATAGATCAATAGAAGAAGTTTGAAAGCAATACGAAGGAGTTTATAAGCAGTAACAGTAGATGTATTGCAAATCAAAAATATCAAAAGAAAGAGTAAATGTATAAATAGTATTAAAGCATATTTTTCCGCAAAAATGGCTCTAATATTGACCTATTGCCTAAATCATACTTCATGAAATGGAACATTTGGTACAGTATAAACTACTCTCTTTTTCTCAATCCAGGTCAAAAACTGCTCGACTAGCTATCTCGTCACTCTTTATAATATACAACTAGAAGATTACAGTCTTCTTTTAAAAAAGGTACAGTATCGTATGTTTTTGGAAAAGAATGTTGCATATTTGAGATACAACTAAGGAGACAGACTAACTACTGCAGCCGTTTTTACATTGGTGTTTTTGCTAAAAATAAAGGATAGATCATAATAATATAAATGAAGTTGTGGAGATAATGATGGATTTTTGGTGTCAGGTATAAGATAATGGGTATAATGTAGATTGTCAGCTGGACCATTTCGACCAGAAAAGGAGCCAAACTAATGTAAGAGCACATTGTGAAATGTTTCTATTGGTAGGAACAAAAGAGAAAGTGAATAAAGTACTATATAATCGTCAATATAGAATATTTGTTATTTACATCACCTAAGACAATAGGCCGACCAAGTGTGTTGTTTATCATTGACCAAATTATGCCCATGAGAGTATGTCTGAATCTTGGATGTACCAACCCCTAGCAGTTTCAACAAAAAAACTGGAAGGGCAAGTCATGAACAGTAAATGACGGAAATGTAGTAAGGAGATAGAAAGGATAATCTCAACTATCACAAACCACCAGCAGACTTTCGCCAGAAAGAATGGAGGTGCAAACCACACAGCGACATTCCTGAAATCATGGGTCAAGAGTACAATAAAATCAATAATACAGAGCCAAGGCATAAGCTATATGGCAAAGTGTAATCATGTAATCAACACACTCGCCCAACCAGAGAGAAGGAGCCAAACTAATGTAAGAGCACATTGTGAAATGTTTCTATTACTAAAGCAAAAGAAAAAGTGAATAGAGTGCTATATATTCGTCAATATAGAATATCTGTTATTTACATCACCTAAGACAATAGGCCGACCAAGTGTGTTGTTTATCATTGACCAAATTATGCCCATGAGAGTATGTCTGAATCTTGGATGTACCAACCCCTAGCAGTTTCAACAAAAAAACTGGAAGGGCAAGTCATGAACAGTAAATGACGGAAATGTAGTAAGGAGATAGAAAGGATAATCTCAACTATCACAAACCACCAGCAGACTTTCGCCAGAAAGAATGGAGGTGCAAACCACACAGCGACATTCCTGAAATCATGGGTCAAGAGTACAATAAAATCAATAATACAGAGCCAAGGCATAAGCTATATGGCAAAGTGTAATCATGTAATCAACACACTCGCCCAACCAGAGAGAAGGAGCCAAACTAATGTAAGAGCACATTGTGAAATGTTTCTATTACTAAAGCAAAAGAAAAAGTGAATAGAGTGCTATATATTCGTCAATATAGAATATCTGTTATTTACATCACCTAAGACAATAGGCCGACCAAGTGTGTTGTTTATCATTGACCAAATTATGCCCATGAGAGTATGTCTGAATCTTGGATGTACCAACCCCTAGCAGTTTCAACAAAAAAACTGGAAGGGCAAGTCATGAACAGTAAATGACGGAAATGTAGTAAGGAGATAGAAAGGATAATCTCAACTATCACAAACCACCAGCAGACTTTCGCCAGAAAGAATGGAGGTGCAAACCACACAGCGACATTCCTGAAATCATGGGTCAAGAGTACAATAAAATCAATAATACAGAGCCAAGGCATAAGCTATATTGCAAAGTGTAATCAACATACTCGACCAACATCGAAAGAGAGTAGCATTTTAAAAAGAGTAACGTCTATTTCACCACCACTATTTAGCTAAAATTGAAAAATTATCGATGACGTTTGCAAGTTGAAGGATGACGTATTTATTTGTGACGTCTTTCTGAAGATGCGCGTTCTACTTAATAATGTCTGTCAAGGCCGCGCTTATTGTTTTGCAGGTACGTGATTCTTTTTTTAGTTACGACATGAATACACCGAAGATATCAAATCCTGGAAAAGAGTATTTTCTCAAGGTTGCATCTGCGAAATGGAATTTTCGCGAGGCTTTTACTATTTACGAACATATTCTGAAGTTACCGTCCAAGACAATCTGTCAAATTATGGAAAGCGATCTTAATTCGATAAAAAAGGGCAGAAAGGCTTTTGCAGTACCAACTATTGCAATACTATCTGATTTGCAGGTAAGATGGGATACATCTCAACATCATAGTTCTATAACTCATGCATTCCTTCCCTTTATCGTGTTGATAGTTTTACGTGAAAATGATGGAAAGCAGCAACACATCGTTACAGACCACATTGTTGACAATTACAATAATTGCAGTAACATAACCAACAATATATATCACAAAAGCTCTGTAAGTTTAAGCGTCTGATGGTGGGGTTGTGATGAAAGAGGTTATTTAACTATTAATTTATAACACTATCGATTAGGACAAAAAACGAAATAACAAAGACAGAGAAGAAACGGAACCCGGTAAGATTACTGTTTTGAATGCGTAATGATGCTTCATCAGGAAGATAATCCAATTTGATTTCTTTTATATATAGAATCAAGTAATTCTACCGCTTCACTGTTGTTGAAAAAAGCCAAAAAGAGCTACAGCTTCCACTCTCCCAATATAACACCATCCCTCTCCATAAACAAACCAAAGATCACTGATGATGACGCGAAGAAACTCAATGATTATTTTGTGGCGGTAATCGGTCCCCATTCTGGTGATGAATCTTCGAGTTATACTCGACAAGAATATGAAGTCAACATGGAAGAACAACGAGTACTACATTGCTTCAAAAAAAAAGCCCGTACATTTGCTCTTTTGGACTTTTGCTTGAATGGAAGTTTGGATGATTTATCAGACCGAATGGATAACATCGAGGCCAATCTGGGCGATAATGACGATGAACGCCAAGACATTCGACTCCTCCGTTATATACTATCTGATTATCACGCGAATTGCAGCAAGCCGTCTTACATCGTTATTCCCAATGAACGTACTCCTTTTGCTGAATATATCATTCCAATCTTCAAGTATTTCAGTGCCTCAACAAAATTGTTATCTTTTATTTGGTAAGAAAATGATAGAATAATAGTTCTGTTCAAGCGTTTATGATTATGTTTATTTTTTTTTTTATTTTTTTTTTTTTTTTTGTATAGGTGTGAAAAAGGCTCCCCGTCATACAAACAGTTAATGCTTTGCCTTTCTGAAAGCCAAAGAAAGCTTTTAGATGGAATTGGGTTTAGTCCCAAAGACAGAGTTGAACGTGTGTTGGTTGAGTGCTCCGGGTATGTATGATAAAAAAATTCTGATATATAGTTATCACACAACGTCAGCGGTATTGGACTAACGCCTTTTCTTCCTCACTCACACTTGGGTATATAGAGAAGAAGACGGAAATCACGCCGAAGAAGATACTCTAAAATTGATGGAATGTACTAGCAATTGTTTAAAGAATGAAATGAATCAGTTTCAATATGCATCTTGGACGACATTTGGACGACGACGTATATTTGCTGTACAATGTATTGGGAATAAACTGACTCTTTTATCAACCAGTCGTATGGGAGTAGGAAAATGGTGTTTTGTGGAGATACGGTCGGCAATTGTACCAAGAGACTGGGAAGACCGATACTACTTGAATCGTGTAATGGAATTGTTGATGAAACTAAAGGTAAGGTTACAACCAAGTCAAACTTATTAAATGAAAAGGGAATTACTGGCAATATACATGTATATACGGCAATGGCATTAGGAAATGCTGCTTGAACAAGAAGAAATAACTATGGTTTTGAAGCAACAACAATCAGGACAATTGTCTGTAGATATTAATGATACAATTAAAGCAGTCAGTCGATCAAATCAGGCAATAATGGAATTGCAGCCTCCTTCTATTGATCCAAAATAGAATTGCTATTTTTTTTTCTTTTTTTTTTTAAAAAATCATTTTCTCATTATCATAGTACAGTTTTAATGCCCCCTTTTGCCTCCATGGCACCTTACAACTTTACTTTTACCCTTATTCTACCGAAACGCTTTGTCGATGCGCCAAGTCTTTGTTTTCCTTTTCTTATCCGCCCCTTCCGTTAAGTCCACCTCACTTTACAACATCACCAATACCAATGAAAGTTTCATTCTAGGTAATCTTTGTTTTTCTTGTGTGTCTATCTTCACTACCCCCGTTCCAATGACAAAATCGTCAACTACGCCTGCCATTATTGCATAACGGCATCTAGGAACATCTCTCTGTGTGCTCTTATACTAGTTTGGTGGTCGAATGCTAACTAAAATGGTCCAGCTGACAATGCACATTATACCCATTATTTTATACCTGACACCAAAAATTCATCATTATCTCCACAATCTTATTTATATTATTATGAGCCATCCTTTATTTTGCAAAAATACCAATGTTAAATAGCTGTAGTAGTTAGTCTCTCTTTATTTCCACATATAGTTTGAATTACAAATCTGCTCGTCTTGCTGCAGTTCTGGTATATGAAGCAAGATGCCATTCTACATCTGCGTCTGCTAAATCGACTGTCCCGAGTTTAATTTCGTATGCTATTGAGGAGAGTAATTAGTAAGGGTATATGATAAGTACGATCGATTTATTCTAGAGGGACATGATCACTTACGTCGCATTTCAAAACGAGGGCCCACTTCTGCCAGCTCAACCTGGTTTCCAGTTTTTACATACACATGGTGTCTAAACGATATGTAATCATTATCATTTGCAAATGTCATCACACGTTTTGCATCATCTTTGGGAACTGGGAATAGATACTTTAGAATATCTGTGATCTAATAAATAAAGCCGTGTGAGTGTACTAAAATTCATCTAACCGCTGGTAACCAATACCACAACGCTATTTCCAGTACATACTCTTTTGCCTAATCTTGAGTTGAAGTTTTCGAATATCAAATGAGGAAAGGCTTCTGACACTGTGCCCTGATCTTTTATATCATGGCGAAGTACCACATTATGCAATGAAAAATATGCTGTAGGACCATAAGGGAAATGACATACAATCATACCATCTAAATAAGTCAAGATGAACAAATAGTTCTTCTGTGAGATATCCTGCATAAATAACAATTTTCCATCTGCATCACCATTTACCTGGCTGACCACGATGTTCGTGTAAAACTATTAAATCTGTCACTTCGTTCGCTCGACATGCCTCTACAATCTCACTCATAACATGTCCACCACGGTTGATACGCTGAGAATTTGGAAATACTAAGCGCATTTCCTTCGAAAATTGTTGTAAACGGCTGCTTGGATCTCTCGAGGTTGTAATGAGAATTTTAGGATCGTAAATGCCAGCTCTAGCATATTCATCGTCTTGATATGTACTTGGAGCTATTCACCATTTCAGGTTAAGTTAAAGAAGGTGAAATTGAGTAAGGATAACCTGCCAAAGAGACTTGGTTGATAAACATTATAACCTACCGTCTTGAGCTTGATCATAACCAAAATCCTCTCTCTCACTTCTATCAGCATTTCTTAGCTCTGTTGGTATAGGCTTTCCCTCTATAAATAAAGAATAGAGCAATATAAGCAGCAGAATTTTGAACGACTGGAAATGGTTGACTTACGTTCAATTGCCTCTTTGATCTTTTGTTTACGGTCAAAGATCGCACGCTCTTTCGACTCTAAAGACTTTTTATATAAGTATTCTCTGCGAAGACGAGTATTTCTACGAATCTATAAGAAGGTTGCCTAAGAGTTAGGTGGTAAGTCACTATAGAATGGTGGGTGGTTTGCTTCAATACCATTATCTTCAGAAGGAATGATCAATGTGATTATGGAAATGACAAGAGATCAATCGGCAAGATCAAATTTAAGCATTTTTACTTTTCTAACTCTTAACAAATAAAAAAATTTGTCTTGTTGGGCTGACATTAAAATAAGAAAAAAGAGCTGCTTTGATAAAATTGATTGAGATACAGTGGGCACACAGATTGATCAGAAAAGTTGCCCTTGACAGAGCAAAAAAGATATAGAATGAGGATCAGAAAGTTTTAAATGAACAACGGCAAAAAGGCAGTGCGTACGAAACTGATTATGGGATAAAGGGACTGCTGCTTGTGGACGCATAGAACAATCTTGTGAGAGCTGCCCTGATTTTTGACGGGGAGGGAGGCATTTCTCAGTTGAAGGTATTGCCACTAGTTTCTTCAACGCTGGTACGTTGGTACCATTCGACATTCTACCATTCCATTATATTCAGATGGTAAGGGATCGCAGAAATATGTTTTGCTTGGACTATGCCAATATGATGTCTAACTACAACAGCAGCGAAGTGGGTTCCATTGGCGGATCAAAATTTCTCGATAGGCACGAACTGCCAAAAAATATGCTCATACATAATGGTAACAGCTGTCATCGCGTCATTTTCTTGGTATCAAACGCTATGGGCCACCTTGTGAACATTTCCGATAAATCGAGAATATATGTTTCCCAAATAAAATTTTCGATTTAACGGCCCTACGAAATCCATACTAAACTGATCGAAAATATTCAGAAAGTTGATACTACGTCTTTGGTACGCAAATCTTGCCAATGGTACAGGTGCGTGTATTTGCAATTGATAACAGAATGACGCATAGAACTTCATTACACCGTCATGGTATAAAAATGGAGGATAAATGGGCCCAGGATAAGTGCTGGCCAAAATGACCATGGTTGTCATGGTATTTCTTCAGTATGGTTGGTATTTTATAAATAGGGGGAATTCTTACAATTTTGCCCTCACGTCCCGCGTAACAATAACGATAACCATCCATAATAATATATTTCATTGGCGTTTTCATTAATAACTTGCCTTTAACATCTAGTGCTTGGACAAGATTATACAATCTCAACAACGGCTGTTTGTACTGATCTTCTGCGGTTCTGATGATTAGCATATCATAGTTCGCTCATGATAGCCTTCGCGTGCCTTCTACTATTTGAAGGCCTCTTCTTTCATGCTTATTATCGTCATAACTACTGCTAGCTATATAACTATAACCGGATTCACTTGCGTTGCTCGAAGCCTCATAATCGGAATATCCTTGTTCATAGCTACGCATTAGTTTAAATGCTTCACGTAAGGTGGTAGGTGCGTAATCACCGAGATTACACCGCATAATTTAAGGAGTGCAGTGTTTGACAAATCATTCAATAAAACATTTCATCATGAGAAGCCATGTTACTGGGTTTCTCAACTCTTTCATCTCCTTTCGACTCACTAAAAAATAGATGAAAAAACCTCATCCTTCTGGTATTCCTAAAAGGTAGAACACTCTCAGAAAAAGCTCTAAGAGTGCTGAAAGCTGACATTATACTTGCTGATATGAACATCGCTGATTACTGCGACTTTGAAAAGATCGTTGATCATTATCTCGCGTCTCAACAATCAGACGATCCGAGACAGCTTTTACGCTTGTTACGCTTGTTACGCTTATTACGCTTGTTACGCTTATTACGCTTGTTACGCTTATTACGCTTGTTACGCTTATTACGCTTGTTACGCTTGTTACGCTTATTACGCTTGTTACGCTTGTAAAATAAATTCCGCTGATTGGACAATTTTTTACGCTTGTTACGCTTGTTACGCTTGTTACGCTTATTACGCTTATTACGCTTGTTACGCTTGTCAAGAGGACCAATAGATAAGTGCCCGTCATATACTCAGTAACTCAGTAACTCAGTAACCCAGCTGTCATAAAACTATATAAACCCTTTGTCTTTTAAGTCTTACTAAAGTCATTCCCAATTTGAATAGTCAGCTAGTCTGGATATTTACTCCGTCTTCTTTTATTCTTTATTTATTATCGTTTATATTCTTGGTTTGTGCTTGTGATTTAAGACCACTCTTTTCTCTCATGGATTCCTTACCTACATGTAATAGTAGCCAATCAGACTTGTCGTTGACTACGTTTCTCCAAGTGGACTTGATAGCTTCAATTGTCATTCCGTCTTCCCCTACTCCTGTTATTCTGGCCTTTGAGTCAATTATTTCTGGTTTTCCCTCGTAACAACAGGATCAATATGTACAAAACCTTGGTACGAGGTTCTTCATTGTAGATCCTAGAGTACACATATATTTCAAGAACGATCTGATCGTGAAAGTAGATTTCCTACGTTACTTCGTAAATTTCGTGTAGCAATAGCAAATGGGTATATTCAACCTACCAGCAACTTCCATCGCCTCCTGGGCTCCAGTATAGAGTCTACTGGGTCTATTGATATTCACCCACTACTTGATATGCAAATGTTCATCTTTATTCAATCATTCGATAGACCAAAGCAGTTAGAAGTACTTCTGCGTGACTCTTTATTCCCTTCAAAACCTTCCACCACTTTTGTTACAGGCAAGTAGAAAACGTTTTGGGATCTACCTATAACCTCCAGGCGTTCTAACAGTACGGTATCGTCCATTTCAGCACAAGTTGCCTAACAAAAGCCTTTTACATAATATCGCTCCCTTCAGCGATTTGTAATATCAAGCAGAGCTTAATATCCAAAAAAAAAAAGAATAAAAACAAAAACAATAAGTGATCAGACGAGCTGACTATAAAGAAGGATATTCTTCTACCCTTATTCAAATAATAAAACAAGGTTCTTTATATATTTTTTCAATAAGAGAAACCGGGTAATCGTTGCTAATGAGGTAACGGTCTGTGCTTAGATGTTGTATCCAAGAAGCAGCACATCCGTAATAGAGTATCTATAGTATGATAGTTGTCATATCTTCATAATCTAATTGGAACTAGATGTCGAATAGATAATAGTATGAATCAGAAACTCATTGAGTGTCCTTCCGGGATGTAGAACATCAATGATATGACTTTTGTATATTTAATATAAATGCAGAGTTATAACAATACTATGAATCAGAGCCTGTATATGATACTTGTATCCATTGTCCACAAACCGAGGATACTTAAACCTCTTTCTCTATGATCTACCCACTAAACAGTCTATCTGGCTCCAGTCTTCATCTACTTTCTTTTCAGACCTGCTAATTGAACCTGGTAGAATACTATCCATGCTTCTTTCGCTCGATTATGATGACTTTTAACACATAAAATTTTCTGTTGCCATCTCTTTATCTTTCATCTCCATTATTGGCTGTACACTACTAAAAAAAAAGAAAAAAATCAAGAAAATCAAATCTTGAAAGACAGCTTGGCTGCTTCCTCCCCCACCCCAATAAAAAGGAGACTCATTTCGCGTAAGCGCTTAAACTATAATTAAGTATCGATTGATAAATTCATAGCAATATCTACTACCCTTCTTTTATTTTCAATTCTTTCTTAAACGTGAATATACTACGCGTAAGCTCTGCTCGTTTCTATATCGTTTAAAGTAACCAACTCGACTACCAGTCTCCCAACAAGTCTTCCAAGACATTCTGCCATTTTTTTTGGAGATAAAGTTTTCAATAAACGTTATTTCTGTATCAGTTAACGAATTTGGAACCACTGACTCAATGACTGTGATTTCTGCTGGTTCTTCCATTGGTGTTGTTGTCCCATCCTTATCTTCAAATATAATTTCTTCATATTTTCTTTTTAATTTTGAATGGTAATCAATACTTTGATTAACATATTTAAAAGCTTTGCTATTTGCTGTCAGTTCATCTTTAAGAATGCTTTTGATTTTTTTAAACTGGTCTTCAGAAGCAGAACATATTGTCGCCAAAGCATTCAACTGAGACTCGCTGGCATCAGCGTATTTTTCTGTTTCATTTTTGGCGATTGTATATAGTTCAATAATCGTCACGTCATCGTGAAGATCCAAAGTCGTGATGTTCCTTTGTTGACTACCGAAGAAGTACTGTATTGCTACAATGGGATCCATGGCAGAACTTTCGTTACTTAAGGCAGGCTCGATGATCCGATTAGAAATTAAATGGCAGTTTTTAGCCCAGTTATAACATATTGTTTCAAACATATTCTCTTTTGTGTTTGATTGCTCAAATGTCTGCATAACATCTTGACTCACTGTATCCACACAGAATATTAGTACAATCGGATAACATTTATATCGCATGAAGACGTTAATGGAGTAGGTAATTAGTCTTGCCATGAAGGTTTTGTCTACGCGTTTTTGTACCTCAATGAGTATAGGTGGGAGACTATTGGAAATGCCGATACGTGGGACATAGAGAATGTCGCTTCTCAAGGCGTTTGACCACTCAGTATTAGCAGTGGTATAAGTACTAGGTGCAACATCCAAGAGAAATTTCAGAATCTGATCAACAATAGTTGAATTAGACAAAATGATTTTGCTAAGTTTGTCATCACCAGGACGATATTCCGATGGTACTTTGAATAAAAGGAGATCTTCAGGTACTATGGGAAAACACGTAAGTATTAGCGGATAAGGCACATTTTACAACAACTTACTTTGCATTGTTAGGATAAAAATATGTGTGATATTCTTAAGTGTTTTTAAAGACCAAGATAGAACGAGACCGAAAAAGTCAGATAATTTTTATTTCAATTTTGAGAACATGAAGGCTTTATATATTTTTCATAGAATTAGCTGAGCTTATAGAGGATGTTAGGAAGATGTAGTTACAACCAATGAGTACTAATGGATCTAATGAGAAATTAATGAACGCGTGTTCTTACACTGTTATGGATCTGATACTAATTTGACTAGTGAACAATTGCTTATTACTTGACAATTCAAGTCTAAGTTGACAGCCGTTTATGCTGTGTTTAAATTAATTAATTCTCACTCGTGTTTCGATACCGTAGACAGTGGTCGGGACATGACAATATGAAGAACCCTAAAAATATAAGATGGGGAATATGATAGTTTTCCCCTTGGTTGGATAGTGTAACATTTGGTACGATGTGTGTTATAAGCGTAACAAGCGTAACAAGCGTAACAAGCGTAACAAGCGTAACAAGCGTAACAAGCGTAAAAAATTGTCCAATCAGCGGAATTTATTTTATAAGCGTAACAAGATTTACTGATTGTAACAGTTGTCATTGCTAAATGGCGAAATCTCACCATTCACAGCATTTTTTAGACATGCACATATACATATAATGCTGCATTCCTACTGGTTAAGAACGAGTATTTAACTCCTTTTTTTTTGTTTCTCTTCCTTTCCTTCTTTCTTTTGTTTTCTTTTGTTGTCAAATGCCAACATTCCGTTCGTCATGAATGCTCCCCTCTCTGATTCCAGTGTATAATATAAGGACTGAAGGTGACCCATCTCACCTTACAATTTCATATCAATTATAAGTCGCGTTCACGAAACTATAAAACAACTACACATATCACACATCAAACATTCTTACAAAAGGGTAAGTCTGTTCCAACTGAATACCATTTAAATTTGAAATTCAATTTATTATTCCTCTATTTTTAGAGGAGAGTGTACCAATCCGTACACACAGTTCATGAAAAGTGTACTTTATAATAATCAAAAAGAACACAGTCGTTCATAAGATTGATATAAGATTTGTTCTGAACGACTCAGGCAAAGACGATGTTGATGTTGGTGCACTTGAGGCGGCAAATAAGCTCCCATCTGAGAATAAAGAAGTATACGACGCAGCAAAACTTCTTGTTGATTCAAAAGTAAACAATACCATTTCATGTTGAGGATATTCGCTCTCTATCTGGAACTGGTTTCCAAATGAGTGGTTAGTCTGTCTTCTTTAGCATATATACTACAAGAGAAGATGTATTTGGTATCATTCGATGATGTAATTTTGTCGCATCTTATGTTACAAATTGACTTCTTCCTCATAGCAATACTTTGCCCACGCCTACTGATGATTTACTTATTGACTATTCAAATTGGATTGCTGCAAGCTGATATCCTCCAGTGAAAAAGGAGCAAAAATCAAAAATTTGTAAAGATATCTTCTCAATAACAATAGAACAGATACAACAACAACGACAAACACAGTATCTTCTGAATATGACCCAAACCTTGCTGACGAATATGGCTGGGTTCAAGTTGATGGTGGCTTCTATAATGTTGAAGCAAATATACTTTTAAAAAATCATCCATTCGACCAAGAATAAAAATGATTGTCTTTATCAAATATAGTTTCAATTAGATCTGACTGTAAAGGAGGAGGGGGAAAACAATACGGTACCAGTAGAAGACATTTTGTAGGCAATTATAAAACTTTATTTATTGAAAATTATCAAGCGTCGGCACATCGTGGAGTCATGAGAATACGTCGTATGTGCATAACAGGAGTAGGGGGATAAAGAAGGACAATTGGAGATTCCTTTCATGGAGGTATTTACCTGTGGGGTACTTTATTAAAAGCGCACGTGTCACATTTACCAAGCGGGAAGTAACGTTGGGCAATCCTAGAATAGATGTAGAGTAATAATGGGCATGCTGCGCATTGGACGGTGTGCTTTGTCGTTGTTAATTTGTCGACAGTGGGAGCATTTGTGAAGATGTGTTAGATGGTTGTCCATGAGATCTGGAAGAGTAGGGGGTGTACCTGAAATGTTCGGTATTGAAGTATATCGTGATATAACTGCTTGAATAGTCGAGAGTAGGGGGTGTACCTGAAATGTTCGGTATTGAAGTATATCGTGATATAACTGCTTGAATAGTCGAGGGTAGACAGTATACTCATACTGTCGTATCTTTTCAGTCGTAGTCGTCGTTGTTGAACATCATAGACAAATAGGTGAGAGGATTGCAATATGACTATGTCGGTAAATCCAATGGTCTTTAGGGGAGGAAAGTGTGAGCTATTTGAGAGGAAGATGTGGTAGTGGAGAGGGGGACTTGATCAACTTATATTGTATGCTGTAAGGTGTAATGTTTTGTATAGAACGTGAATCATCGGTGCTGGGTGGCTGATATGGTGCTTTCCTTAAACTCATGATTGTGAGTCTATTTTTCTTAAAAGCTAATCTACGTGGTTCGATTCCCTCTCGAACCTCGGTTACATCTCTACTTTTTTACACGTACCAGTTCAGAGCGCGTCACTCGCTAACGGCACAGCCGCTTAGAACATGATACTACTCCAGACTTTCGGGCCATGCATATAACCACTCAAGCTTGAAGATAACGTAAATTAGTTCTCTTCAGTGAAAGAGGAATAAAGAGCGCTTCATTTATTGAGTTTAGTATATGTGATTTTCACATTGATTTATATAATTGATAATGGATCGGTCAAGTATATCTTCGATAGGAGTGCTGCTATTATCACTGTTATGGCTGGTAGAGAGCGTAGTTCTGGCCAGAGTGCTTGAGAGAGAGCTTATTGAAGGATCCAGCTGTATTCGTTTGATCAATTTTTGGCCATATTCTTCGTTCACTTTCTCCCAAAATGAAGTATCCGCCTGCCCTCTATCGGCACATATCAGCTGACAGTGGTGGAAGAAAGGAGCTACTGCTTCTTTTACCGGTATTGGGTGATAATACTTTGGATCTAGTAATCGAATCATAGTATCAAAACCCACGATAAAGTACAATTCTAAAGGAGTGCCATCATTTTTATGACTCTGGTTCACAAACCACGATCTGATGGCTGTGGCTTTATCAATGAAGCGCCCATGAGGCGTGAGACCTACTGCAGCTGGCACCCTAGGCTGTAGTGACAGCTGTTGAAGCGCAACTATTTCCATCATTTGAACTCTTTGTAAAACACTGGCACCTGTGATCTTTTTGTCTACATTATTTGTTGAGAAGAGCAGAAGTAAGCCGTCGAAATAATTGTCTGGGTAGGCACGAATCGATTTTTGAACAAGATCGACATGAGCTTTTGTGGGTGGATTGAATGAAGAATCTAAAATCAGTAAGCGACAGGAACTGTGTGCTTGTTGTTGTAATGGCCACTGATTTGGTTTATACGTGAAATAAAATTCTTTGTTTACGCCATTGTTTAAACTTTCAGAGATGAGGGCCTGACGTGACAGGACTTGCAATACAATCGGATCGTTTAACGACATAGGTGCGAATAGTATACTGGGGAAAGCAAAAAGTCAAGTGGAAAAACTTTCAAAAATTGAAAAACTAGCTCGTTTTATTTTAACTTGTATAAAGGTGGTGGGGGTAATAAAATTTAGTATTACTAAAGTATAAATATGTATATTAAAGAAATGCTCAGTGCAAATCACGTAAATGAACATCGTGTTGAGTATTTGTGTTGTTTAGATGGATCTGTGAATTAGTATCACTGCTGACACTCGTTCGGCTTTGTTCGCTGAACATGTGTGCGAATCCATTTTGATTGCTGTCCTCTTTTGACAGTTGTGCTACATATGGAGTTACTTTTTCGGTTGAGGGATAGAAAGGATTGCCACTGACGGCTGATCCTGGTGTACTAATAGAGGGGGAAAATTGTCCAGCACGAACACTACTACTGTTATTCATCAACTTTTCGTTGCCCTTATTCTTTGCGATATTACTAGCGGAATCCAATGAGCGGAAGACTTCATCATCCACATAGTAAGCTTTAAACAACAGTTCCAAAATCTGCATACGCTCTTCGACACGCGAGACACGCTGGGCTTCTGTTTCCTGTCCCAAGTTGTGGAATTCATTCACGCTGAAACGATGATGCACAGGGTGGACAAGAGGGATACCAGAATCCGTCGTCTTGAATTTAGTTTTGAGACCTTGCAATAAAGATTGTTTACGGCTACCGGTAGACCAACGATGAACCACACCCCAAGGTGAGCGGGGACGATAACCAAACAACCAAGTTTGAGCAGCTACCAACAGACCAAAGATACCACCGACAAAACCAAGAGCATTGACGAGTGTATACATCTTTACTTCACGATCGATGAGTTGAGCAAAATGTTCAGGGAACACAGCCAACACGCCGAGATCAACATGACCCGTAGTGTAGGTAGGGTTAGGTGCTTCAGAACGGAAGTTGGAATCAATTTCTGGTGTGCTATTAGTGACAGGAAGAAAACCGACATAGTTCCATCCAACAGGTTGCAAATAGCGATGATCGATAATATCGTAGCTGAGAGCACTGTAGGTGAAAGGTTCGATTGTATAGACATTAGTGGCTTGAATATCGTTGCGTTCGGCGTTTTGCCAGTTAAGAATATCGAGTTCGGACAAATAAACACTTATGCCATCCTCATAACCGTAAATCTTTGCATTAGGATCCATTTGTTTAGGGAATACAGAAACATGGACACGACCGAAAGAAGCGGTCAGATCACCATACATGGTAAACATGAGTCGGGAGCCATTGTTGGCTCCTGAAGTCGACGTCATTTTGAAGCTATCAGGAGCACGGAAAAGGAAGCAATTCACAGGGCCCAAATTGTCAGAGAAGGTAGGTTTGAATACGGACATGTCGAGTTGGCGAACAAATTGAGTACAAGAGTAACCATTATCTGTTTGGCAAGATACACCAGGAGGACCATATAGATTGCTTTCAGAAGGGAAACCATCGAAACAGAAACGAACATCTGGAACATCCACTTCAGCAGCAGCATCCTCAATACGTTGGGTTACGTTAGGGCTATCAATGGCTTGGCGGATGACAAAGTAAAGGAACATGATAAAGATGAACAGGAAAAAGACTTGAGAAACCAAACGGGAGGTTTCTGCCCACACAGGCTCACCAGTACGAGGCTTCCAAATGTCATTGTGAATACGGACAACGAGCCAACGAATGTACGATTGAAATTTCCATAACAAGAAGAGAATGATAACGACCAAAACGACTGCAGCAACTGTTACACCAGCAATGAGACCCTTTGATACAGAGCCATCAGAATTGTTCGAGCTTTCTGTAAAAGATTGTATCCAAGCACTGCTATCGAGGTTGAATGTATTGATATCATTGTAGTATGAGTTGGATGAAGAACCTATAGGCAAACAGAAAGGACAACAGAAAGGAAGGAGCAATAGTATAGAATTACAGTTAATATACGATCCAGAATAAAAAAAAAAAAGTCGAGATAAACGTTTGAAACCACTCTTTACCAAAAGCAACAGTAAGGTAATTGTCAGCCAAGAGGCCGCCGACTGCGAAGGAGCGACGTGAAGGTGGGATGCCGCTTATACTAGGAAATGACCAAGTCCAAGTCTTTGTGTCTAAAATAGCAACTGTATTCAAGTACTGACGGAATCTTTGTTGATCAGCATTATCACCTGTTCCCCAAAAAAAAAAAAAAAAGGTTATCAGATCTCTGCTGCTTCTATCGATTCGCTCGTATAAACTATCGAAAATTAAACATACCACCAAAAATGATGATTTTGTCGTCATTTGCTGTAGGAAGAAAAAGTTATATTTAGTACACCAATGTCTTCAAACGTTTGATCCCGTGAATTTTCAGTCTTTTTCAGTAATTTTCTCGTTGAACAATGAAAATCTCTACTTACTGACAACGGCTATGTGATCTGAAGCGCTTGAGGGGAAGCGATTACCGGTTGTTGAAACGTTGCGGGCAGTCCAATTATTAGATGATGGATCATAGATCCAAACATTTTCCATAGAAGCCAGTGAAGTACTAACATTGGTAGCAATAACACCGCCAATAATAACCAATTGTCCATTACTGTTATCATATTCATATATATAGGTTATGTTGCACAAATTAAATAAGAATTTTTATACGAGCAGGAAAAACGAACAAAAAAACTTTACCTTAAAATAGAAGCAGTATGACCGTAACGTCCATAGGGAGTTGGCTTCAAAGCTGTTGCCTTAAAATTAGCGTCTAAAACATATAAATCGTTAAAGACGGCATTTTGACCAGTAATAGCACCGCCAAAGACGTAAGTACGTTGATTCTTAGCATCGTAAGTAGCAGAGAAAAATTCTCTGTTTGGAACGATGGAAGCATTGCCGGTGTTATCAGCATTAGCAGTCCAAGCTTGAGATGCAAAGTTGTATGAATAGATTTGAAGTGGGACTTTTTTTCCTTCGGTGGTATTAGACATGCCGCCCATAAGGACCATATTCTGACCATCAGCTGTCACGTAAGCCTGACTATACACTGTTCCGTTGGGTGCGTTCGTTTGAGGTACTGCTTCCCAGTTGTAAGACGTAGATGTTTGAGTGAGTTTATAAAAGTCGTTGGTATATCGTGCAGTTGCGTTTTCGCCACCAAAAATATAAAGTGAGTTGTTCTTTTGAGCATATGCCATACCACCCTTGTAGGGAAGTGCATTCATGAAAGAAGGGACATAGAAATAGGCTTGTGCTGGAGCGATGATACAAGCGACAAGTATCGTAGATATAAGTAGTGAAATGTTGTTCTTCATGCTGTTGTATTTCTTTGTTTAAAAGAATTTAAGCAGAGAAATTAGATTCGTGTGGAGAAGTTCTGTGTCGACAGCTCTGAAATTTGATAAAAGAAAGGATGTACAAGGCTGGAGATGGGCTCAGAAAACAAACAAAAAAAAAGTGAAGAAGATAAAAATAAAGAAAAAAGGGAAGAGAAAGGAATGGACAGGTACTAGAGTAATAACAATAAAAATAAAGTGAAAAAAGGGAGGACAAATAATCGAAAGGGGATCTATTTGAAGTGTTACAATGATTATTTTTTGCTAGAGGCTGGGCCCCACATTTCAAAAGAAAGAATAGAGAATTCAGTTCAGGATAGTAAGTCTGAATCTACAACAATTTTCTTGTACTCAGTTCAAAAGCCATGACTGCACGTGGGTTTTCCTTGGCTTCCTAGGTTTTTAAGTAATGCCCTCACTACCTCCAGTATGTTTAGAATCTCATTGAATGAAACTGTGCCATTTAGCTTCATTTATGACTTCATTTACGTATGAACAAAAAAAACAGAACATAAAGAATGATAGTAACTGAAGTCGAGCAGGGCTTTGATTAAACTTCAAACAAAGGGTTCCACACAGGTATGAGTGAAAGAAGACGGGAAGAGATTTTCTGTCTAAACTCAACTTTCGTCGTAATCTAGACATGTTTATACATCAAGCGAAGAACAGCAATACAACCAGTGGCCTGCAAGAATTTTTTTTTTTTTTTTTTGAGCAGTAACTTTCATCGATTGGTTGGAAGGCACAATAGTTCGGTCGCTAGAACATAGGCTCAACTTCGACACTAATACATGAGGGGTTAGTTCGGTCTATAATAGAGGATTCTTGTTCGCCTACGTTCCCTAGGCTGTATCTCAATAATGATTTGTTGCTGACTCTGATAGTGCTTGTTACTACGCTACAGTATCACACCAAGTTTAGCAAGGACTTTTCCTTGTACTACTACTTTGTAGAACATTCTGCTAAAAGTAACGATTTTAAGTGTAAAAGAAATATTTTCATATTTTTAAAGACTTAGAATAGTGTAGTTGGTTGAGCGTGCATGAATTTAATTAACTTGCATCAAAGAAGGATATTACTACTGCGCTAGAAAAAGGCACCTCAATGTTTACAATTTATTAAATGAAGGATTATGACATAATGCTTTACATAATAATGAAAGCTTAGATACTGCGCGTACCCTTCTGGTATGAATTAGACTTCATCCACCAGTGGTAAGTGGATCTAATCTTATGCCATAATACATGTCTTAGAATTCAGTAGCAATAGTATGTGTTAGAGCCTTTCTTAAGAAGGTTTTGCTTTCTATTTGAAATCTCTAGTGAATGTCAAATGACAAGTCGAACAATGCTTTTCCGTTTTCCTACAAAATAATTTATCACATTTATTACTGAAATGCAAGTGCAATTTTTAGTCTGCTTTTATACTTTAGTCAAGCAATAATCTCTTAGCATAACATTGTGGAGCATTAGAGTTCAAATTTGTGTAGAGTCGCGCTCGGAGTAGACTGCAATGCCCTGGACTTTCAGGCACACACACACAAACACTGAAAAAAGAAAGTTTGTTCAAACAGCGAAATTGATTGGCTGGCCCGTTTTGATCGGATCTAATACAGCTGAGTGGTGGGCTGCAACGAATTGAGCCGCTTGCCGTAGTAGAAGCATGCTACATCAAAGAGTTATACATCCGTATTACGTGATTCTTCCTCTTTTCTTCTGACAACATGGATACTCTTACTCTTCGCGGTACACTTGAAGGTGTGTAGATATATAAATTTTGTTGATGTGATGATATAGAGAACAAGTATGCGAATGGATGGATTATTTCTTATGGATGCAATTTGGGTCATGGATTATCAGCAAACCCTAGAGAAAATCTGAATGGATGTTGCATTTCAACATGTTCATTTCTTTTTTTAACTACCGGCTAATACAGTTCAAATAGCAATAGCCGATCGTCAATAACGTTGAGATTGTAGAATTTGGCAAAGAATTATAGTTAATTCCATAATAGACTCCTTAAAGCATCTTGTTCGATTTATGCACATCACTTCATTGTCATTCAACATTAACAGTTTACCCGACTTGATCACTAATCTGTACTTTTATACTTTCTTTTCTGCTATGTTTATGCTATTCTTGAATAGGCCACGGCAACTGGGGTAAGCTAGCAAAAGTTTGTTGTAGGTTCACTATTTACAGAAAACTCATTCGCTGTATTATTACATCTTATAGTCACTGCCATCGCCACCACCTCTGAGGCACCTGATATGGTTTTGTCTGCTTCCCGTGATAAGACTATCATTGTTTGGAACCTCACCAGGTAAATTAAAGTGATATATAATTTATTGAGGATTAGCTTTGGATTTAGGATTTGAAATTCTTACTTGGTATTATCATTTACAGAGATGAAATGAACTACGGTGTTCCCCGTAAGTCTCTCGTCGGTCACTCCCACTTTGTTGAAGATATTGCTATCTCCTCTGATGGTCAATTCGCTTTATCTGCTTCTTGGGATAAGACTCTTCGTCTTTGGGACTTGAACAGCGGTATCACTACCCGTCGTTTTGTTGGTCACACCAACGACGTTTTGTCTGTCTCTTTCTCTGCTGATAACCGTCAAATCGTCTCCGGTTCTCGTGATAAGACCATCAAGTTGTGGAACACCCTCGGTGAATGCAAGTACAACATCACCGAAGATGGCCACACTGAATGGGTCTCTTGTGTCCGTTTCTCTCCCAACCCTGCCACTCCTCTCATCGTTTCTGGTGGTTGGGACAAGCTTGTTAAGGTCTGGGATCTCACCAAGATGAAGCTTCGTACCAACTTCATTGGTCACAACGGTTATGTCAACACTGTTACTGTCTCTCCCGATGGTTCTCTCTGTGCCTCTGCTGGTAAGGATGGTGTTGTCATGCTCTGGGATTTGAATGAAGCTAAGCACCTCTATTCTTTGGATGCTGGATCTGTTGTTCATGCTCTTACCTTCTCTCCCAACCGTTACTGGCTTTGTGCTGCTACTGCTAACGGTATCAAGATCTGGGATCTTGAATCTAAGTCTATTGTTGATGAACTTCGTCCTGAATTCGCTCAATTGGGTAAGAGAAAGAACCCCGATCCTGAATGTTTGTCTGTCTGTTGGTCTGCTGATGGTGCCACTCTTTTCTCTGGTTACTCTGATAACATCATCCGTGTCTGGCAAGTCACCCGTACTCTTTAAGTAAATTAAAGAAAATAGTCCCATTGTTATTGTAATTTATTTTGGAGCCCAAAGAGTATGAAATTTAGTCGTTTGCATATCTTTTTTAACTTTTCAAGTAATAAACCTCCGTTTTTCCCTGTTGGATAGACGTACTATTTCTATTCAGATGTATGATATCAAAGAAAAATAACTTGGTAGTAGGCACTTAGATGTAAATCAATGATTGAGAGTAAATAAAATTGGAATATGTTTAGATGGTCGAACCAATATAAACATTGCAAAATATATAAAGTCGAGTCAATAATGATTTGGAGGGTATAGACATAATGGTTTTTTTAATTTCTAACATGAAAGTGGCCAACACATGGGATATGATCTAATTCGCTTTCTAGTAAAGGGCCAACTCTTCCCTCTTTGTACACAAAATTCTAATTGAACATTTCTAGACGCGACAGCTTGCAAAACCCATTACCATTATATCCGTAGCACCACAATCCGTTAACTGATCCATGATATCTCCTTTTTCCTTTTTCAATATCATAGAGGAAACAGATAACCATTCATTATCACCCTTCATTTCCAATGTGGAAATGGTAGGACCTTGACGACCTGGCGTGATTTTGACAGCTTTGTCAAGATTTTTGCGCTGAATATTGTAAGTGCATAAAACAAACTTTTTAGCAGTTATCACACCGCGCACACGTGACGCAATTCTTTCAATCAAATCCGTATGCTTTGACTTTTTGTTGGCTATCAAAATAGATTGGGTGTGCATAATATCGTGAATATCGTGAAGACCTGCTGCACGCATTGATTCACCAGTTTCAACAAGATCGACTAATATTATCATGTTAACATAATTCATTAAAAAACTATTTCGGGTGAAAACTTTTTGAGCAGTATGTGTTTCGATAAGAATATGATACGTTACCAATACCATCTGCCAAGCCAAGTGCACAAGCAGCTTCGACGGAACCAGAAACGTGCTGAATAACAGTCTTCTTTCCAGAAGCTTGATCCAAAGGCTCAAACACTTTGGCTGCTGTATTTACAAAACTTGTAACAATACGTTTACCGACCAGCGATTCAATTGTTTGATAAGGACCCTTTTGAGGTACACAAAGACAAAGTCGGCACTTTCCAAACTCCAATTCCTGAACTTCACGAATTTTTTGCTCGGCGCCACTTTCTTTAACAATATCCTGGCCAGTAATACCTAGATCCACATCACCGTCAGCTACATATTTGGCGATATCGGCAGCAGGCAGAAAAACAAGAGCAATAGGCAGGTTGGTGCAAAGGGCAATGTCTTGGCGTGAACTTCTGTTGAAATGAATGTCACAGCCCTTGAGTAAATCCATACACGTTTCATAAATTCTGCCCTTCTTGGGCACAGCAAAAAGCAATCTATCTTCGAGGTCTTTAACGAATTCCATTTATCTTTGTTAGCTGACTATTCTACACGTGTAGCTACGGTATTGACGGTAACAAAAAAAATAAAAGAGGACAAAAAAGGGTAAACTTAGAATAGTGTCGTTTTTTCAATTAGTTTTTTGTAAGCTGAATGAGTCACAGAATAAAAAAGTGAAACAAAGTGAAAGTTAAACTTTTCAGAGACCAGGAAATCGGATCAAAGATGTGCCTGGCATTTGATTAAAAATCAACAAAAATTTTATTCAGTGCCTTTCAATGCTCTCTTTTGCCGACGGCTTCGGTTTGTGGATATTCACTGTTGAATCGACATTGTTGGGATTAATACGAGCAAAGACGTTCTGAATGAAAGCTTGGGCCTGTCTTTTAGACATGGACTTTCAGGAAACATGAGCCAATACACTACCAAGAGTATGACAATGACAACGTAATACAATATCAAATAACTCTACAAATAACGACTACATAAAATGTGCGGTTATTGTTGTTCTGCTTCACAGCGACACTATATATATGCATGACAATGCAGAGGAAAGGATATTATTTATCTTCAAGGAACCCTTCTTCTGTAACTTAAAATAACAATCCTATATCATATGCCTTAGTGCTTAAATGCCTGCAGATACCTGACGATTGACAGAACTTCCCAAAACAACCATTTTTAGATGAGCAAAAGTAGAACTTACTCTAACGTGTAGATCGATAATTTTCTGACACCTCTTGCAGCGACCTCAAAATCACGCTCGAGGAACAGCTTCCTTCAACGAATTGGGTATGAGTCTTAACCATTTCAGAAAAGTCTTGAATGTGCTAAACTTTGTAAAATTAGTTTCTAAATATGTTTTAATTTTGATACAGCAGTTTAATACTTAAACTGATCTCATTTGACGTTAAATTGAGATATTCATAATTTGAGACTTTAGACTGTTTCTTTGTTATCCAGTGTTGAAGTAGATGAGTATTTTTTTCACAAAAAACGAAAGCAATAGCTGTGTAATTTAGTCATAGAAATGAAGATTGTATTTTAAAATTTTGTAATTTGCGCTAACAATTCTAATGATGGGAGAAGGTAGCAGTTTAAGAACTAAAAAGGGAAGAAATGTTCATTGAGAAGTCCAGTGCAGATAGCGCTGTGTTATAGCGTTCTATATATCCTCGAAAGAGTAAGAATAACTCTTTAGAAAAGGTGATTATGATTATATTGCTAATGCTCGATTTGAAGCGGCCTAAAAGCCTTTCGTAGTCTGTGTACTCAGTATCAAACGGGTAATCGTTCCAGTTACATAAGTTTCTACATTTCCTAAGACCATCAATGCTTAGCAATTCCGGGGCCCGCCAACTTAAATGAGACAGATTTTCTCCATAGTTGATCAAACAAGAATACCCGTTGTTGCTCAGCTTTCAAATTTTGGATACACGATAACATGGACCTTGCAATTTACACATTTAACTTACGTTCCAAACGAGCCTAACACATATATCAACTACTTATAATTTGCTTGCGTCTGAGCCGCTAAGTGACACCATCAGTGGGCTGTTCCTCTGTTTTTTGTGGTGGTCGATAAAATAAAATTTTACGACTGATCTAACAATGATATTTATATAACCGTAGCAGTGACAAAACGGTACCAATGCCAATAACGTAAGGATCAAAAAAAGTACGTCCAAGTTTTATTAAGTCAATTTCCCTATCTCCACCTTTTATTACTAAACTGAAAAATCAGTCGCTATTACAGAAAAGAGAGAGAATTGAAAGGAATTCGTTCAATTTACAAATACAGCCAGCTTATCTATTAACTCTAACCAAAGTTCAAAAATATTTCTATGTCTTTATTTGCATGTCCTTTAATTTTATTCGCGTCATCCTAAATGAATGACTACAAGAGAAAACCACACTTACACAGCACTTTATTGTTCGAATGAAAGACGCTAAAGTTATTAGTGCTAATAAAAAATTATTGGAAGCATCGACTTTATCTACTTTTGTTCGGATGCGACTTTGCCGTCATACTGGTTCAAGATATGATGTGTACTTATTTGACCAAATGGTATATTTAATTTAAGATGGTGAAGGTGGGGGTAGGGGAGATGAGTGATCAGAATGAGGATATAATGGACAACGCGAATGATTCATATATATTAATGCTTTGAAAAAAGTTTAATATTCTAAATAGTAGAGTAATAAGTGACGGTCTGCGATTGCTATTGAATTGTCGTGTTAATAAGTTTGAATTTATATCTATTTACAATTTTCATCAAAACAAAGCAACATGATTCTTTATCATAGTTGAGTTCCAGTGACTTTAATGGATTAAGACTGCAAGTAACGCTAATCGAACATCAATTCTTTTCTTCATCCTGACTTTCTTCGTCTTCCAAATCATCTTCTAATGCACTTTCCCTTGGCTCTAGTTCATCATTCTGTTCGAGTACATATCGATTGGTCAAATATGGCAACATCACATCGCAAACGCGTTCTTTATGTAAAAGATCGTCAATAAAAGCATCCATATATGTCAAAAAGTACCCGTCTCCTTCTCGTACTCGCAATTTTCGATAATCGTTCAGCAGTGGTTCGAGATATTGGTAGATGTCTTTTGCTCTGCCTGTTAATCGTAAATAGAATGCGCCTAATGCTCGTAAATACTTGAAGTCCTCCTGTGAAATCAACTCGATAATCACATCTTTTTCAGGTAATAATTGTAATAGCTTGAGTGTCAGGCAAAGAAACTCTGTAGGTTGATTTCCTCCATATAAACCCCCGATATATTCTAACTCTACTGCTCTATCCATTAGAGTCGCAGCTATAAACCATAAACGTGTATAAGAGTTATCGTTACAAAATAGCAGCAAAAATCATTTTACTTTGAGCTTTCATCGTTATATACCTGATAAACCATAACATTTTTCTTTCCAGTAAAGCGATCCTTGAATTCGTTCTCGAATAATTTTTTCAATTAAATGCATTGGATGACGACCATGAACGGATGGTCCGGAGTGATAGTTTGGATTTTCTAAAAGAATTATGGTTGTAAGTCAAAAGGCACTTGAGAAGTAAGCTACGATCTGAAGGGACAAACGCTCAATTACCGGCCATTTCAATGCTAATTTATGTCGATTTTAGGATGGTATTGTAAGAGTAAAGTTTGCAGAAATTTTTTGATTTTCGAACACTTGAATACAAAAAAGATAGGACCCAAAAACGAACCCTCATTGGCGGAGGCAATTGTGGCGATAGATGAAAGCAAAGTTTAGGTTCAAATAACGTGAAAGCTTGATAGATGAGAAGAGTCGTAGTATCAATCAGTTCACTTCAGGCCTATTCATTTATTGTAAGCAATGATACGTATATCGTTCAAATCGAATATATTGCTTTTTCATGCAAAGTTCTCGTATAAGCTTTACTTTAACTTTTCGTTTCCAGTGCATTATTTAATTGATAACATGCAATCATTACAGGGTTCTTACTTAGATGCACAGAATTGACGTGAAAAAAAGATTCTCGCGCAATCCTTTTGCTGTGCTGTCATAGAGGACAGGGAGTTATAATATGTGGTAGCATTATTAATGAGATTAAGGAGAGATAACATGGTAGAATATAACTTAGTATTTCTAATTGTTGTAAGAAGATAATAAGGATGATGAGCGTTTTCGAAATGTACCGACATAGTTTGCGTTCAGGCTAACCCGGGTTTCTAATAAACTCTTAAGAGTTGCTTCCTTTTGATGATCGCATCAGAGATGATAGACATTGAAAAAGAAAGGGCAGCAAGTAAGTATATTCTGAAAAGTTTTGGTCGACACAGTCTCATACATGGATTTGAAAAGCATGCAGCTATATTCAATATCTATATAACTCGGGAGTGACGTTTATTTGATATGGCAGCTTTCAATACGACTTGATGCGTATAAAATGGTTAATGCTTACTGATACAGAATACAATATGTGGTAACGAAATATCGGAAAGGAAGAATAGAACAAATAGTTGGTGTATATGGAAATACTCAGAGTTGGACGTGAACAAGAGTTGCAATGATAAAAGTGTTTAAGAAATGGAGAGATAATGTACTATGAAAATTGGTTCAGTGTATGTAATGAATAGAAGAGGGAGAGAATGTTCATGTGTTTGCGTAGGTATTATGTGTTGGCTTAGGTTCTTTCGTCATCTTCATCGTCGTCACCGTTATATTCGTGCCATTCAATAGGAATAACACCCTTGTTATAGTCGCTTTCAAGTTGGCCCCAGACAGCAGGTGTAAGATCCAAACAACCTACATATTAAATTTTTATTGTTTAGCTGTCTTCGTTTATATGCCGATCTTTGCAGGCAATAGTACGAAAGCAGATGGTAGATTACCTCTCTTGCATCCAGGGCAAGCATCTGTCACCGTAGCAATAGTACACTTCTTTCTGCTGCAAATTTTTAGTTTTTTTCCACACCAACGACTCTTTTTGCTCATATCACCGTACTGCTCAGCATTCTAAAGAACAAAATTGAAGATAATGAGTATACTCTCCTAGAGTATGGATAAACGTAACAACAATGAAACTAGTAATACCATGGCTACAATTTGTGAATGGACATCTGCATAAGGACCGCAGGCACCTTGTGAACCACCTTCCTTGACAGGATCAAAAAAAGTACCAATACCTCTGAACAAGAGTTTTTTAACTGTTTTGACGATTTTGCCAGCGATGCCTCTTTCTTCTATAGGTCGTGCCGCAACGAGCGAATGACTGGCTGTAGACATAAAGGTGGCAAGAACCATACAGCATATAATTGTTACTAATAAATGGCACTTCATCTTTTTTTCTTTTTGCTTCTATCTGATGTTGTTGATTTGTATGAGTGGTAAGGATATTGCTTAGATAAAAAGTGACTATATCTGACAAGACAGTAGTAGTAGAAAAAGAAAAGACTCTATTTGGGTGGCAATTAAAAGTGTAAGGTAAGAAAAGAGTTCAGAAAAGGTAAACCATTGTTAAAATGTTTCTAAATACTCTTGACTTTATATACCGATTTCTTCTACGACAAAAAGGGGTCAAGAACATAAAAAAGAGACCACCAAACAAAGGGGAAGGATTGACAGCTTATTGCTGTTATAGATACACATACGCACACGTACAGACGGACCATCGACATGTAGCACTCATTTGGATAAAGAAATTGAAGAAGAGACAAAGTTAGAGAAAGTAAGGGGAAGGGGTCGCAGTAGATGAAAGGAGGAGTCAAAATGAAAAAAAAAGACCGTTTCTGGTGAGCTTAGAACGAATCTAAAAAGAATTTGTTCACCGTTCACTGCTTAGAGAAAACACTTTTTTTTTGTTTATCTAATTAAAGATAGTAGCGATAACATTATCTCCCTTTAATTCATGTTCTTCATGTTGTAAGTTATGAACCTGAAGACGCAAAGAAGACAACAATCAGAGCACCCTTTTTGAAAACACTTAGAGAAAAAAAAAAAAAAAAAAACCTAAAAAGAAGTGCACGACGTAAATGCAAAAGGATGTTTGTGTTTTGTGTACGATTCTGCCAAACCACCTGCAGTTTTAGAAGCGTGAATGCACGTATTCAACGACTTTTAGCATTTCGTTGTCTAAATAGCTTAAAGATAGTATCGAGCAGTAACGATATCTCGATGATCCTGCTTTGCAAGATTGACGATGAATTGAATGAGAATAGCTATATGCGTAACCTGAATTGTACATATAGATACTTATTCTCGTACAACTGTTCTTATAGTTGTATATAGGATAGTTGTTGTCCAGTAGAATATTGTGCTATAAACCAGAAAAAAAAAGGGAAAATAGCTCATCTTGTGGATATATAATTACCAATTAACTTGCCTGGAAATTTGAATAAGCAGACATCAACATGATCTGCTGCCATCTATATACTTATCAAAGGGAGCATGTTGCCATAACGAATGTCTGGACGTTCGAGATGGTATTACAATAATGTCTTTTATCTATATCTGTCATAGAGTCTCATTTTGCAATATTTCCTGTAATATTAAAACTTCTCCACTTTCTTTTTAAAGGTAGGCTTCTTCTTTCTTTTCACTTTGGATGAACTCCCTAAAAACTACACGAAAATCTCCTAAAAGAAGAACTCTATTCATAGATCGTATTACACACAATGGTGTTGGAATTTCCCGGGAAATAAGCAACCCAGCTTTCTTTTGGTCCTTAACTCCTTCTTTTCCCCTGAAAAGATTGCTCGACATCAGTTACAGAAGTTTGTGTGTAAAGAGGGTTGGTTATATATACATCTGAGTCTGTAGGTGCGTGTGTCTGATATCACATAAAATAAGCACGTACCAAACACACAGATGTAAATTATACATGTTGTGGCTTTGTCCTATTCGGCTTACTTTGCATATTCGTTGGACGATTTGCACTGCATAGTCAAGTAACGTATATTTTTCTTTGTTCTTCCTGTTTACCCTCCCTTACTTGGATAATCTCGCTCATCTTTTCTTGAAGAGATGACCGCCAGCAACAAAAAGGTCGCGTGATGTCACAAGGATATGCTTTGTTTGATGTCTCGCTGCTGTCCGGCCCTGACTCCGAATATATGTTGCACTTTAAACTGTTTGATTTACATAGTCCTCATCGATAAAATAAATACCCTGAATTTGTACGTGATCTTTTTATTTTGGTGAGCCGATAAACAGAATTAGCTTTCTGTAGTACAAATAGTAAAAACAAAGGTGCATAATATGCATATTTCACTATTTTGAAAGAGTCGGAGCTCTGTAATAGATAGAAATGTTTCGAGTGAAAGATACTTGTAGAAGGAATCTCCTTCTCAGTCTACATCCGACGAACAGTAAACTGATATCTGGCATATATTGAATTTCTTCCCTTTTCTTCTCAAGATTGAACGCATGTACGCATTAGCGATAACTATGGAATCGGTCGTAAATCAACTCCTTTATGCTCTGTATTTGCATACAATTCTACCGGAGAAGAAAATGTTTGGGAAGCCCCCAATTTAACCATATGTAACGCGGTTTTATTCTTTAAGAATAATTTATGCAGATACATCCGGAAGAGGAGGATGCAATTCAAACGGCAATCTTTCAAGAACAAAAATTCGAGGGTGGCGACGAAAATGTATTATTATCTACAACCCATCAACATCATTATTGATATGATATCACAAATACTAGCTTTTATTAAGATTGTTCTTCGTTCATAATATTCGTAAACATTAACAACAATTTTTGATGGATTGTGTACAAACAGGAAATTGCCATTTACGAAAGCACATAAAAATTACCAATGTATAACAGAGATTTACCATCTTCTGTTAATATCTTTAGAACCTGCAGCAGCACCAGGACGACGACGATTGGCAAAGCCACTATCACGTTCGCGATCCTCGCGACCAGCTCCATCATTACCGTCACGACGAGGTCCAAAGCTACCCGAGCTTCTATCACGATCTCCACCGGCACGATCTCCACCAGCACGATCATCGCCAAAGCGATCTCCACCGAAACGACTACCAGCGGTACGACGGATACCTCCAGCAGTATGCCATGAATCAGCTTCATCAGCGCGAGTACGAGTAGAAGGTGTATTTGAGCGACTTCTCCAACCACCACTAGAAGGTTCACGATCCAACGTACGACGAGCGGGAGGCGTGTATTTACCAGCAGAGGGGGCAGGGGCGGCAGGGGCGGCAGGCTTGGCTCGTTGTTCTTGCAGTTTACGCTCAATTGCCTCATCACGCTCTCTCTGAATTCTGGCAGCTTCTTCCAATTTCTTTTGTCTCTCCGCTTCTTCTTCTCTCTTCTTAGCAAGGAGAGCTTCCTTTTCTTGACGCTCACGTTCAGCGGCTTCAGCGCGTTCACGTTCTTCTTCTTCAAGGCGTTTTCTTTCCGCTTCTTCTTCAGCACGTTGCTTCTCCAATGCAGCCTTCTTTTCACGCCACATAGCAATTCTCTCTTGTTTCTCCTTTTCAATAGCTTCTTCAGCTTCCTTTCGTAATGCTTCCATTTTCTTTTGATGACGCTGTTCGATCTTGGCTTTGAATTCCTTATAATCATTCAATATACGGCCGAAGCGTTCCTTTAACTTCATATCTTCTTCATGTTGAGATTTAGCAGCTGTAAGACGAGCCTTGCGTTGAGCGTCATAGAATGCCTTATCAGTCTTTTGTTGATGTTCATAATCCTTCTCCAACAAGGGAATTTCTTCTTTTCTATAAGCACGTTCACTATGGTCGAGACGCTTAGAGATTTGCTTAAGACGATCGCTTAATTCCTTCTGTTCAGTTTGGAGACGAGACACCTTGATATCTAACAAAGTCTTGACATCAGATTGTTCGATTTCTTCAGGCTTCAATTCCAAACCGGTCTTATTACTGATTTCTTCAGCGATACGCTTAGCTTGATCGCGTTGAATTTCTTCTTGAATACGTTTCAAACGTTCTTCTTCACGACGCTTCATCTCTTCTTCTTGACGTTTTCTTTCAGCTTCAGCCTTCTTAGCAGCGGCAGCAGCCTTTTGTTGAGCAGCCAATTTCTCTTTACGAGCTATTTCAGACTCAATAACTTCCTTACGGCGTTCAATAGTCACCTTTCTGGCGAGAGCTTGCTTATGCTCCTCTTCAGCACCAGCTAAAGCACGTTGGACAGCTTCTTGCTTTTCCTTCTGAGCATTAGCCTTGACATCAGGATCAATCATTTGCACAACAGCATGTAAGCTCACACCAAGACGAGAGAGTTGAGTACGCATCAAATCAGCAGGGGAAGATTGCAATTGAATACCTTCAGCAACTGTATCCTTAGGAGGAGCAAACAAATCAGTTTCGAAGCTTAAGCTTTGTGAAGCATGATCGATACGAATGTTCAATTCACCACGTTTGCAACCGTTCATAATAAACTTCTCAATAGTGGCAGCATCATAGTTGAAAGGGGCAGGGAAAGAAGCCAAGTTCAAAACGAAGTCAAGCTTAACAGTGGTATACACTTGAGAAAGTTGTTGTAAGAGACGAGTCAAAATGACTTGATGAAGAGGGCGAACGTATTTGGCCAAATCAGAATCTTCGGAAATCTTGGACAAGATAGGGTTAATTTTCTTGCAAATAGACAAAGGATGGAATTGAACTTCGAGAATGTTGTAGAGATCGCGGATTTCAGGGCGAACACGAGAAAGGATATTCTTATTCAAGGCTTCCTTCAACAGACCAGTACGCGTAGGCTGAGTCGTCAAACCCATCAACATAGAAAGGCGGTTCAATTTTTGAACGCGATATTCATCAGCTTCGACATAACCTGGGCGTGTTTTGGTGGTAGTGATGATAGGAATGGCGAGAGCGGATAATAAAACAATTGAAGCCATACGAGATTGCTCTTCGTCAGTCATGCTCTTATTGATGGCACGTTCAATAGTGGCGTATCTGTTCCAAGCAGCTGAGTGGAAAAGATAGTCTTCTGAGACCATGAAAATTTTGGTAAGCTTTTCGTAATAATTGGCCATCATAACAGGCTTGGGAGGTCTCTTTGAGGTGGTCAATAAGGTGTGAATATCCTCGACAGATTTAAAAGCTTCCTGCCAAAGTTCAAGTTCTACAGCTGCATTAAGTTGAGCAAAACGAGCCTCCAAATAAGCTTGAAGAGTTTCAGGGTCGTTCAAGTTGACAGCGTGGGGTTGATGAGAGTACTTGGCGACGTTCACAAAGTGATTGCGAAGAATTTCGCAAAGGCGTCTAAATTCTGTCTTACGGTCGTAAATCAAACAAAAGTTGAAGGCTTTCATAGTGACGGCATTATAAAGTGATTCTAAACGTGAGTTGTTTCTCATAATATCAAGAACTGTACGATAGGCTTCCCATAAGAATTTCAACCAAGGTGTAATAATTAAACGATCACGTCTATCTTTGTTTTGATCACCAGAGACAGTACTGAGCATAACTGATTCTGGTGTTTCTGACGCTTCTAAATCGTCAACATCAACTGCAATTTTATCGGCTTTTTCGCGAGCTTCAGCAACTTTCTCTTCAGCAAGGGTGAGCATTTTGTTGATGATGATCTGTCGAGTTGTAGATGAGTCGAATAAAGGTATAAAAAGAATTAGATGAGTAAAGTAAGGATGGAATTGATGGGAATCATAAGTTGCTAACCTCAATAGAGTTGACACTGGTATTCTGCGCAATGTTACGGTATTGATGCAAGCCTTCTTTAACCATTTTGCCCTTCTTCAATTCGACACAAAGTTCGACGTACTTGAGCATAATAGGTTCCATAACTGTGATGGGATTGCTACGGGAACGCTTAGAGAGAATGACATCATGAAGAGCTTGTAAAGCAGCTTCATTTTCACCCACGGCTTGGAGTTCTGTAAATATTGTAACATAAATTCTATGTGTTAATCATCCATCTATATAATTCATCCATCCAACAGATCATCCTTCAAATTTTGGTCCATCTAACCTTCAACTCTCTTTAAAACGTTATCTGATTTCACAGCGTAGAAAGGTGCCATAGTTAAACGTGAAGAGCTGGACAATATTACAGAATGTTTGTTGTACTCCAGCAGTTTTGTTACGTGTGCACTTTGGGTGAATGATCACCAAGGCAACACCCACCATAGAAAATTGAATCTCCGAACCGTCATCATTTTCTGTGGGGACATGCGGTATGAGAGCTTCCTTTTCCCTCTCACTTTTATTTGCAAGTGTACAAGCCAAGAAAAGCTGATTGTAGTTGTAAGAAGCTTCCAGTCTGTACTTTATAGCAAACTTTATAACGACATTTTGAGTTGCTCTCAACCATTTTTTGGCTAGAATAAAATATTGTTTACATAGAAACTCATAACAGTTTTTTTATTCTTGCAATAAGGATTCAAATAAATAATGCTCTTGTACGGGCTCTATCAAGTTTTTCAGTGATTCACCTGACATCACTTGGTCCAGTTCGTATAAACTCAAATTAATACGGTGATCTGTAACCCTGTTCTGTGGGTAGTTATATGTACGGATTTTCTCCGATCGATCACCTGTGCCGATCTGCTTATTACGGGAATTGCGTCTTTCCATCTGCGTCTTCAATCGCTCTACTTCATAAATCTTTGCTCTCAATACTTTGATTGCTTTCATTTTATTCTTATGTTGTGAACGTTCGTCTTGCATAGCCACTACAATACCTGTTGGCAAATGAGTGACTCGCACTGCACTATCTGTTGTGTTTACATGCTGTCCACCTGCCCCTGAAGCTCGATAGACATCAAATTTTAAATCACTATCTCTAAGCTGTACATCCACTTCAGTAGGTTGAGGTAGAATGGCTACCGTTACAGTTGATGTATGGATTCTTCCTTGTTGTTCTGTCGCTGGCACGCGCTGTACACGATGTACGCCTGATTCATACTTTAACCATTTAAATACATGTCTCCCAGCGATATTGACCGTGACATCTTTCAAACCCCCTTTCATATCGTCAGATTGAGAATACACTTCCCATTTCCATTTTTGAAGTTGAGCAAAACGTTCGTACATACGTGCCATATCCGCTGAAAAAAGAGCAGCCTCTTCACCACCAGCACCTGATCTGATTTCCAGGATGGCATCACTGGATTCATCGGCGGCATCTTTAGGGGCTAACTCTGATATAAGGTTCTTTTCTAACTGATATATTTGGGTAGTTATATCGTTGTATTCTTCTTTGGCGAGTTCGAGCATATCATTGTCAATTTCTTCCTTTGTATTGGAAAGCATGCCTTGAAGATCGGCTAGATCTCTTCGCCTTTTTTGCCATTCTTCGAATAATTCTTTGGATGTTGAAAGCTGTGATAATTCTATAGAAGTTTGTGTGATATCAATACCAGGTGTATTATTGCTGAGATTTGCTAGAAGGGTATCGTGGCGTTTTGATAGTGAACTGAGTCTTGCTTCAAGTTGTGGGGTAATTTTCGAATCAAATAAGGCTAGAAGTTGTATGGAATGTAAGCATCCAGATTCTCCCAGACTCAACAACGGCAATAGTTCTTACCTTTAGTGGAATACCGCGATACTTGGCGACAGAAAGGCCTAAACAACATTTTGTTCGTTACAAGAAATAGATTTCATCTTTTACAGGGAATAAATCGTGGATATACAGGTATTCCTCGTTTTTCGGACCTTTCAAATAAATTTCGGATCTTTGCAATTTATTCTAAGACAACCTTCGCCTTTTGAAAAAGGTACTGTACCTATACTTATTACGCTTCTTTGGCTATTACTTTTTACTGAAATTCATGTATTCCAAAACCAAGCGAGGGTGACATAACATGCAATGGTAGTATCGTATGGGTTTTGAGTGCTGACAAGCCAAGCTTACATCTGCATAGCTTTACTGGTCACAATCGTGTCTAAAAGCACACTTTGCTTGGAAATCAGAAGGGTCTCGTCTCAAATAACACTAGGTGCGTCTCAAAGGAGCAAGAGCAATACGGCATTGTGGAAATTGTTACCGATTCAAATAGAAGAAATAGTAGTTAAATTCTTGATGAAAAATTTTTGCATGGTTTATATATGTATATATAAAAGCAATGGTTCAAGCGGCAGAGTCGCTTTTTTTAAGCAAGATAAAGAGGATTCGTCATAGGAAAGCACCTTATCTCTACAAACGAGGATTTCAATCAGTAGAAGATAATGTGATTCATGGGACCGCACTCATTTGACAAGCTATAGTGGACGATTTAGATTCTCGATTTTTTGAGATGTCTTTCAAAAGCAGTGATGATAAATTATGCAGAGTCAAGACATAGCACAGGTAAGCTTCTCTGATTGTTTCAAGACGATTTTACAGGTATGACATATTTTTATATTTACCTTGTACAATGTACGAATTGGTCCACACCTTCGTATGATATTGTAAGCTATTATGATTTACAAGGCATAATAGACATACACACCTATAAAAGGCTGCTAATAGAGTTTTCAAAAGATGTCATGTCAAGGATAAGTCGTTCAACTATCGATAATTAATGGAACCCCAAATACTGTTTGCCCTATGAATGCTCCTCATTTTGTTATCGATGAAAGACTAAAGAGATTCATTGACTCGGTTCAAGTTATCTATCAGATGGAAGCCGCGATTAATCGTCAACTATGCCAGCTATTAAATACTGTAAGATCTGGTTAGATACTGTTGTACCTACAATGCTACTCAAATCCACATAACCACCTCAGTATGAGTTTTATAATCTGACGCACTTTTATCTAAGCCTGCATATTACTATGATCTTATTTCTTCCGTTGAAAGAGAGACAGGTAGGCGGAAAGAAGTACTTTTTCAGACAGTGATATACCCTATTCAAAATCAAAAACTAAGACGAGGATTTTAATTTGATACAAACTGATTGTCATCCACATATATCTACATGAGAGTGGATTGACACGAGGCAGGATGTGTAGGTTCATGTCGTTTATACTCAAGTAGGTAAAGACGTGCAATAAATAATCACTCGATAGAAATTACGGGTGGTTACGTATCGAGAAGGGATGAATAAGGCAGTGCACTTTTTCACAACAATTGTAATAAACCATATTTAATAGTAAGACGCGACAGGTTATACAGCAGTTCCATTCCCAGAGTTTCCTTTGCCCATTTTTTCCGCACTATTCTAGATAGAAAGTAGTTCAATCAATAGGTCGGCATTTTGCTCGAGAAAAGGCGTTAGTCTAACGGCTTTAATAGAGAAAGCCAGTCTTCGTAAATGATCCTTAATGATGCAAAAAGTTATATCTCATAAAAAAAAAGCGAGCTCTCAGCTACTTTTCAGCGAAAGTCCGACGGTAAGTCACGACTTTTACAGACGTGGATTTATGCTTTTGTTCTGTCAATCAATTGCGTTTACTCTCCTCTCACTTTCTTTAAATCTGTCTCTTCATCGCTGTACAGCTTCGAATTTATATAAATGAACGCAAGCGAAGTATTCATTCACTTGTCTTTTGAAGGAATTCTAGATGACCTCTCAAGGTTCGCTTGTGAAATCGTTCAGTTAAGCAGAATCATCGTCTCAACTTTATCTTTATTTGCTTGTAAATAGTCGTTTTATCATCAATGTACCAGAGGCAGAGTTATCTTCTGTAGAAAGGATATGTTTTCAAGTAGAGCAAGCACATTGGTTTTATGAAGATTTCATCCGTGAACTTAGACCGGAATTGCCTTCATTCCAACTCAAGACGTTTTCTGCAAGAAATATCCTTTTTTCGTTGTTTGTCAATTATGCATAATTATGATTAACGATATGTGCTTACCTCCAAACTATTAACCTTAACTCATACTATTACTATTCAAGCACTGTCCGCTTTTACATCAATGGGCACACGAGCATGAAAAAGCTTATGCAGATTTTATGCAATATCGGTTTCGCATTCCCGTCTGTGGCGCTATCATTCTCAACAGCAATTTAGATAAATGCGTTTTAGTGAAAGGATGGAGTTCAAAGTCGGGTTGGGGGTTTCCCAAGGGTAAAATCAACCAGGATGAGGAATATGCAGCTTGCGCGATCAGAGAAGTTTTAGAAGAAACAGGATATGATGTGGGGCCCTTATTAAAGAAGCAAGACTATATTGAATTGACGATGCGTGAACAAAGAATTCGACTTTATATAATTCAAGGTGTTCCTGAAGATACACAATTCGTCCCTAGAACAAGAAAAGAAATTAGTGTAAGCATGGAAGAGAAAAAAGGAGAAGGGGCGTTTATCATTAAGATGGCTTATTGTAAGTCTTTTCTCAAAACGTTAGCAAATCTCATGGATCAAATTAGAGGATCTACCAACATATAAAGCATCTGCTGAAAATACAAAATCGGGTAACTACGTAAAGTCGGGGCCATATCGATTTTATATGGTTGTTCCCTTTGTAAAGTAAGTAGTACTGGCAGAGCATATCAACCAAGGAATGCGAAAATGAGCTAAAGTGACATTCGATCCATAGTAAATTGAGGCAATTTGTAAACCAACGAAGAAAGGCGCTCAAGAAAGAAAGCAAGGCGGCTGATAATATTAATAATAGTCATGCTGTTGCTGCTGCTCTCAAATCACCGGTAGTGATAGAGGGAGTGAACAATAACCCTCAACAACAGCAGCAAGAAATGGAGCCTTCGAATGCTTTGAAATCCTTATTGGGTGTCCAGTCACCTCCTACGCCTCAGCAGCAACAGCAACCAAAACAGCAACCCATCCATCTACAACAGCAACAGATACCATTTTTACAAGCAACGGCCTCATCTGCACCCTCCCAACCACATCCATCTGAACGCCCACCTCTATTGAACCACTTACTAGGCGAAGCAATGAATAGCAGCAGTAGTAACAATAGCATGAATTCTTCGGACAGTCAGACGAATGTGCATAGAGCTTCTTTTGTTGAAGAACTTTTAAAAGCACAACACCAAACTTTGACCCCTCCGCCTCCACTTGGATCGTTGAATGATAATTTACGTCGAAATTCTCTATTGAACGCCTTACATGGCAACAAATAACGACATCAGTAGACTGCAATGACCAGCAAAACATATGAATAGAACAAGTCTGGAACAATTGGTTGGTCTGAAGTCAAATGAAGGGTACAAGAATATGCTCGTTTACTTAATAAAGAAGTCTTGCATTTTTTTTTTTGCTATTTACCGTTTCGTAAAAGGATGGATTTTAATGAATTAAAGTATGGAACTCTTTTTTTCTGGAAGTATTCGAAGAAAAATAAAAAAGATGGGAACAGGCAAAGTTGGCATCTGCAATTTATATAGTCGTGGATTGTTGAAAGTGAGTTTTGCGAATTAATGTAGCTTGAAAATGATATAATGTGTAAGAAGGCATGAGTTGTGTACTTGTAAGTGATATTCTGACTGTGTAATGTAGGCTCAATTATCGTATAGAGCAGAATTCCTCAATTTTGACAGCCTCTTTTGAATGCACTGAATTCGAGGTTCTGCTCAATTTACATTATATTAAAGAATAATACAACATGAGTCTTTATCTGGACTATTTGCTTGTTGTTGTTTAGCCTTTCTATCTTGAATTTGTCTCATTAACATCGTATAGACTTCCTCTACATTTTGTCGGGTTTTTGCTGAAGTTTCTACGTAGGAGCAACGCCATTCTGAAGCTAAGGCCTTGGCATCTGCAGCAGATACTTTACGTAAATGAGCTAGATCTACTTTATTGCCCACCAATATGAATGGTATCTGTTGAATTGAATGTGTTATGAGCTAAAATTTTTGTTAAAAAAGAAAAAAAAAAACCAACAATATAAACTTACCGTTTCGTCGTCCAAGACTCTTAGTATTTGATCTCTGAATTCATGTGTATGCTCTAAAGATTCTTGTTCACAAACTGAAAATACACAAAGGAACCCTTCACCAGAACGATAATAATTGTCACGGATCTATCGTTTTAATGGATTAGAGTTCAGTTAATAATAGGACCAGCATGGATATTTTTTTATTAGGATCCCTTTACAGCTGCATATTCTTCTTGACCTGCTGTATCTAATATATCAATTTGACATTCCTGACCATCTAATACCACTTTCTTACGATAAGCTAAATTTATAGAGTAGTGTAAATGTCGTTAATCAATAGCGCTATGTATGCCAAGTGAACTGTTGTCGATTGAGTTACTGAAAACGTACAGTCTGCTTTGGTTGGGTCATATTCTTCTACGAAATCGCCATACATGTATTGCAGTGTCAATGCAGATTTACCAACACCGCCAGAGCCCACCATAATTATTTTATGGAGAGGAAGCGCTTGTTTCGCTTTTGACTTGGCCATGCTGAATTGAATTGGGAAAAGTTGTCTATGTTGTAATAAAAGTTGATACGGGAGAAAAGAAAAAGTACATTTTTTCTTTGCACACCCCTCACAAATGCATTTTTTTTTTTTTTTTTGTAACTGAATGACACTTTCCAGAAAAAAAAACAAATTCCGCTTCACATTCTCTGATGAGCGCCGAATTGGGCTAGGTGGTTTTTGTAGAAGCTTTGGCTTCGTTGTGCGATTTTAGAAAGACGTGGCTGATGGTACATTACCGTATCCACCACTGTCATCATTGCAAGACTTTGAGAGAAGTTTGGCATTGCTTACGTCATGTTGACAAAGAAATTTGATAGCATTGGGTCGTTGATAGAGTAATCTACAGTTTTTTACTGGGCTTTACGATTTATTTGAGCCTTCCCATTCCTATATCCCATAGTAGCCACAAACCCTCCTTTGACCATTGTTAGAAGTTACACGAAATGCGTGCCAAAAAAAATGATGATGATGGATATCCTTATGTCCCAAGTTTATCCTGGTCAATATCGGCGGCAGCTGAGTAGTCTATTTTTTGGCGCACTGGAGTATCAGTGAGGAGGTAAGTTTCTTTATCTATACAGTATACTGACCTTCACGTCATTGTCTGAGGATACTGATGATAATTGAACAAATGCTATATTTTAGTAGCCTGCTTGGACTCTTTCCAGATGATTCGAGTCTACTCTGTGTTTTTTCAGTCATTCAATCTATTGATAGCTTTTCCTCCTCTTTGTGTCTATTTTCCTCATCACTTTCTCCATGCCTTCTTACGATAAGCCTTATCCTAGTTCTTTTCAGGTAAAGAAAAGTATTTGCTAGTTTTGGTCAGTCATTTGATCAACACTCGACAGACCTGTCATCATAGGAGCGAAAAAGCCCTATATATAACTTTTAATCGCAGTCAGAATACAATCAAAGCCAACAATTGCCGTACTTACCACCTTGCGGTCTTTGTCAATGGAATACTCATCAATTTTATATATTTTAAAAACAACGACATCAAGTATAGGCAGTGGCTTTGTTGGGGGAGAGGGAGGTGGGTATTGGAGCAAAGAACAGTGTTACGCTCATAGTAACGCTTAGGCGATGGTTAAGGTTTAGCTGTAGGTTCAGACGGAAATTTTGCATGATATTGTCCCAGCATTGGTCTGATGAGTGCAAGAGGAAGACGAAAATAAATCACAAACTCAAGAACAACGCATCTCTGAAGTATTCAATAGAATTGAGCACGTTTCCAAGCACGGGTTGAACGTATTGAAAAATGCTCAGTGTAAATCCTGACTTATGAGCACAGAACAAATGCCTAAGCGCTTTCTCAAACCTGCTGCCCAAATGTCCGTAGAGTCTACCTCAACTTTGCTTAGCATTAGCAAACGACGAACTTACCAAGTGATTTTTGTAATCAACATTAAGTGCTGTCTCTAATCGACAGATGATTTAGCAGATAATAAACCAAAAGTTTCGTTCAAAAAAGCAATGTTTGCTGCAAGGGCAGCATTGTCTTTGAATACTGTAACCACCCGTATTTGTCTTTTGAGAAAGTAATTCTTCTAACTAAACTTGTCATCTAAGGCACAAATATACGGCCTATGGGTTGTAATTGCTTTTCAATACAATTTTTTGATTCCGTTATGCTGACATAAGCGTTCCTATTCTCACAGTATTTCATCAGAGAATCCACATTGACGTCTTTGCCAATCGGCGTCTTCATCGAGCCGTGTCGTCTTTGTGCTCCGCGGCTCTATTTGAAAGTCATCATTCAAACCTCACGCGTCCGTTCTTTATGATTGCAATAAAAACCAAATATAAGACGGATAGATGGAGAAGAAAGTCTAAAAGTCAAGATCAAGACTTTTACCATAATTTGAAAGGAATGCTAAGCTTTAGTTCTATGACTATTTTTCGTCTATTGAAAGAAATGCATATTGCTTGAATGCTGCCAAGTATCCAACCTTGCTCCGTCGACTATGCTCTTTCCCAATCTACATCGAGCTATCTCGGTTACATTACTAGAGATAAATAGTATGCTTTCTCACGTTGCGTAATTAGGATTATCATTGTTATGGAGAGCATACTTAAATTGAGTCCCTACATGCATGTCTTTGGTACTTGGGAGAAAGGGTATGTAGGATACGTGTTGTATCCCATGTTTTTATTGATAGTATATACTTTACTACCTCATCGTTACAGCCATTACGATCAAGAGTGTTTTCTGTATTTATTGCTGCTATATCAGCTATGCGTTTTCGATTTTTTTGTGGTCGTTGAACTATGGAAGCAGCACCAGGCAAATACATCAACGCAAAGCACAATCATTTACGGCACACAACACGAGATGCATTCTTCATGGTGAAAATTCCGCATATCGTATCATGTGAATGCATCCTGTGCAAACAGTAACATGTGAGCCCTTGACTATCAACGAGATCTATTTTCTTGTACCTGACATAGGAGGATCATCCGTTTAAAGAAAAATACTGCTTCGGTAGAAAGATCACTTTCATATCTTCCGGTATCATCAACACCATTACCGGTGCAGCAACACATTTCCGGGAAAGGGACAACGTGAGCCGTCTGAGAAAACACGCAGAAGGTCCTGATGAGTCTGAATACCCTGGCATCATGGATTTGAAGACGTGAAAAAGATCCTGCAAAAAGTGAAACCTTGAGGGCTCATCGGCGACGGCTACAGGGGTTCTATTGAACGGCATCTCAATGGATAGCGAATGTTTATTCAATACTTACCACTCAAGTATAGATTGGAAACAACACTTGTTTTGTATACGCTTGTAAGTGACATGAATATCATCGCAGTAAACTGTAAATACATCTATTTCAACATAAACAACATAGTGTAGTAACCGACGCAGCTTTATTGGGAGGTAACCATTCACAAGATAGGTTTGCTGCTGCTGATGATTGAGTTATAAATCCGAAAGAACAATGACAATGACTCTAAAACATCCATTGAGCTAGAATGCTACAGTTAGACAGTTCGCCTCTTTCATAAAAAAATTCAAGACAAATATCAAGAGTGCAATTTATGCTTATGACAGCATCACAATTTAGGTAACCAGCGAAACCAATCAGTTCTGGGAAAAAAAAAAAAAAAAAGCAATTGCGTTTATTTTCAAAAAAAAAAAGGTTATATGTCTAGAAGGGTTTGTTCTGCTGCTCATTGAGTCTATGACACGAGAACAGAGCTCAGAGAGCTGTAGGAAAATATGAGGAGACTGAAACAACGTATTGACATTATAAAGCTGTTAGTCAGCAGAGTTGGTTCACATGACAAAAAGCAAATGCAGCTCTAATGGGATCAAGCGTGCCCCTGTATCTTTCGGATGAGACAGTAGTTTAAAACAGTTTTTTTGAGGTCCATGCCTTGTATACCCTTCGAACCTCAAAAGGCAATAGGAATGCCCGCAGGGACGATCACACATTTGCAAAGTCATCGGCTGTCGCCGGATATTTTCAAACAAAAACTTTTTCTTTATCAATGAAAAGAAAAGAAACAATTTGGTTTCTTTTTTGTTGCTTTACCAGGTCAAACCCCTTCCTTCTCCACTTGAGAAATGAATAAAAATTTAAAGAGACGACGAGTAAAAATAAAAACATCTATGTGCACGACACTCCCAAGAAAGTGCTATGGTGTCGGCTGTTATCGTGTACATGAACCGTGCTTCTCTTCACTGGGATTTCTTTTTTTTTTTTTTTTCTTTCCAATGAAAGCATAGAATACAAATTGTGTAATTTCAATAACCCATGCGTTTAGCGGCTTAAAGTACTAATGCAAGAGCTTATTCATGTCGGCCTATTTTTCCCTATATCATTTGATAGTGAATAAAGTGGCTGATATTTGGTAAATCTATTAGTAGGGGAGGGGAATCATGAAATTTACATTTTACAAAGTGATGAGTCAATGATAAACATGATATCATAGAGACAGTTACTTTCTTGTGTTGATGATACAATTTTTGACAATAGGTGGGACAGACTCATGAAGAGTATAATGGAGAGATGATGAACAGTTTTATTTTGAATATGTAGTTTTGAATTATGAATGTGATTAGGTAGAACAAATGAGGGGGAATCATGTTAGCAAGTACGTTTAGTCAGCCTTAGCGAAAAGTAAACAGGTACGATTAGGTATATAGACTTGCATCCAATTAGGTCTATTATCCCAATCGCCCGGTGTAGTGAAGAAATCTGTGTCGTTATCTACACGGGCATGACCCAAGAATTGCTTGTCGTCTGAATTCAATACAATCTTGTACTTGCCGGGCTGCTCCACACCCACTCGGTAGTCAGTGTAGGATTGTGTAGGATGGAAATTGAAGATGAATAGAACATTACCACGCTCAAACACGATCAATTTGTCTGCTTCGTTCTTACGAGACACATAGGCTTGAGGAGCATGTAACCAACCGTGTTTCTCTTCAGTCATTTGCATGGCACGATCCCATTCATTCAAGTATTTGTAACGCAGTAAGTGGTCATCGAGCACATTCCATTGACGACGAGCATATTGGAAGCTGGAGTTATTGCCGTCGCGAGGGAAGTCGAGCCATTCGGGGTGGCCAAATTCATTGCCTTCAAAGTTAAGATAGCCTTCACCACCTAAAGCATGTGTAATCATACGAATCATCTTGTGCAAGGAAATACCACGGTCAATGATGGGAGTGAGTGGAGTAAGGTCGCTCATATGAGTATACATTTCTTTATCCATAAGCCAGAAGGCCAAGGTCTTATCGCCAACGAGAGCCTGATCGTGAGATTCACTGTAGGCAATCGTATTTTCCAAATGTCGACGGTTGGTTAAGATGTGAACGACATGGCCCATATTCCATTCCTCATCTGTTTGCTCCTTTAACATTTTAATCCACATATCGGGGATAGCCATGGCTAGTCTATAGTCGAAGCCAAGACCACCCTCACGCACAGGGCGGCAGGAACCAGGCATACCAGATACATCTATATAAAGAAGGAAAGATGTGTCAGTCTTTTTTCCTGTCCTAGCAATTCTTCTATTTTCCCATTTTCCAATGATGCGTACCCTCAGCAATGGTAATGACGTTAGGATAGATCTTGTGTAAAAAGTTGTTGGCGAGTTGGATATACATGACACTGTCATCGTCTACATTGTCACCAAAGTACTCGTGGTAATCACCGGAAAATCCATAACCGATGCCGTGATGCTTATACAACATAGATGTAACACCATCGAAACGGAAACCATCAAACTGAAACACATCCATCCAGTATCTCAAGTTTGACATCAAGAAGCGTAACACTTCATAACTGCCATAGTTGAACAAACGAGAGTCCCAAAGATCATGACGACCCTTACCACCTTCATGGAAATAACAGTGATCGGAACCATCAAACATATTCAAACCATCTTCGACATTCTTACAAGCATGAGAGTGAACAACGTCCAACAAGACAGTCAGACCCAAACCGTGAGCAGTATCGATGAGTTCTTTAAGATCTTCGGGAGTACCATAACGACTGGAAGGAGCAAAAAAGGAAGTTACTTGATAACCAAAAGAGGCATAATAAGCGTGTTCCATAATGGCCATTAATTGAATAGCATTGTAGCCATCGTAGGCAATTCGCGGAAGCACGTTTTTTGTAAATTCCTTATAAGTTGCACAGCGAGGCTCGGGAGAAGAGATACCCACTATTGAGGAAGGACATCAAACAAAAAAAAAAAAAATGAGCCATATGGAATTTAAATCGTTAGAGGCAACACATTCGAATAAAAGTATTACCATGTGCTTCGTAAACACGAAGGGACTCTGGCTTCTTTGGACGGGCGTTCTTGAACTTGTATTTCTTTTCAGGATTCCAAAAAATAGCGTCGTAGGTAGCACTGACGCTCAGGTCTTGAGTAACATAGTTGATCCAAGCGGGAATACGATAAATACGCTCACCAGTCTTGGGTAGTGTCATTGTGATCTGTAAGACAGTGAGGGTAATGCAGCAAGATGATTGTGTAAGGATGATGTTATCTTTTCAGTAAGGTTATTTTATTTTTGTCTTATTGCTTTACCTTAATTTTGCTTCCATGAGGAATAGCAGGTTGACCTTCTTTGGTGGGTGGAATAGTAACTTCAAATACACCAAAGTCATTGCGTTTCATAGGATGAGCATTGAAATCCCAGTTATCTAAAGCAAAGTATGGATTAGAACTGGAGCTGCTCCCCCCCCACATCTATAAAAATTTCCCCCCAACAAAAATTGCCCTTTTCCTTTTTTTGCTCTCCTCCCTCCGCCCCCTTGGAAAAAATGCTTAAAAAGACTTACTGAAATCACCGACAAGACTTGCAGTAACAGCATTCGGAGCCCATTCACGGTAGATAATACTGTTATCCTTCTGTACATGAAGACCATAATATTCGTAACCCTTTGTGAACTTGTTGTATCCCAGAGTTTCTCTGATCATGTTATGGTACTTCATGAAGGTATTGTATCTAAAATCACCATTCAGTGTTATCAATAAACCCATCTCGTCAGGCACACACACCCATCAAAATTACAGCAGCTGCCTTACCTTTGCTTCAATGCATCTGAAAACGGCTCCAACCAAGGATCAATCACACATAAGCCGCTACCATCAGCAGGCATAGTCAAGACGCGTCCAGGGCTGACTTCAGTATCGAAAGTAGGAACCTTTGGTTGTTGTTTGACAGGCAAGACGGTCGTTTGAGTGGGTTCAGTTGTAGCAGCAATCATTTCTTGGATGCAAAAAAGAAAGACAAACGGAAGAAAAGATGAAGAAAACTGAAGGAAATAAAATAAAAGAAGAAAAGAACCCTTGAAATGAAAGGAAAAAAGGACAAGTTTGTATCTTTTTTTATATCGAGCCACTTTTATTTTTTATTTTTTTTTTGTCAACTTTTTTTATGCTTTGTGTTAAAAATGAACGAACCTGGATTCTGCTTTTGAATTGCGGGATTATCTCAAATCTAAGGTTTTGCATGATAAACAATTTCGTCTCCCGCAACCAACTCAGACTTCCGGGAGTGTCACCTGAAGAGGTAGAAGATCTTTCCATTTAAGGCTTTGAAATGACCCTTCCTAGAGACATACGTGAGCTCAGCCTACCTTTTACTTGAGCCGTAACTGCCCACTGCCATGCTATGGTGCATCCAATAGCTCGCATTGTTCTTTATTTGTATCAAGACAAAGTCCTTGGACCTGCTGGACAATCGCTTGTTCAATGGCTTTCTAATTACCTGTCCTTATTCTTTCCATAATTTATCTTTTGCTTTATGGGTTTTTAAGCTTATCACTTAAATCCGATTAAATTTATGCCAGTATAAAATTCCATTCAATTGTATCTCCATCAACCAATGCTGCTGTATACATTGTGTGCGTCTAAATAAAATAACTACTCGGTTGATTTGCTGATGATAACTTGGTAGGCTGCATACATGTGAGACCAAATTGAATCATTAGTTTATTTTCGACAAAGTTAAAGTTAAAAATATAGAAAGGGAAGGCTATTGATTGGACGGAAATAGCAAAAAGTAATTGGAAACATTTTTGAGGTTAAAGTAATAAGCTACAAAGATGATACTCTTCACTACAGCCTTTGCTTATCAAAAGTATTGTATGATTGAATCGTGCGGAGGCTCCGAGCTTGGATTACTCTCTGTAGATTCGACAAGATCGAACAAGAACAAAGTGAAAAATACATTTGTCTGCATGCCCATGTCCCGTCAAAATAACGACTATTAGCTTTGTCCATACAAGGAAAAAAATATACTAATACTACCTTTATCAGCATAATTTTTGTAACAAAAGAGGGCAGCATACCTATAGCTAGCTACTTTCGCTTATTATTTTATCTCAATTGTGCTGTTGTCATCAAGCTTCGGCCCATTTGAACAGTATACTTGCTCGTCCGTGTAACGCATATTTCAAATTCATATATAGACGCCTTCAATTGGACGAAGAGTATGCTTACATTGAGGAGTCATAAGTAATGTGGACAGCAAGTAACTAGACGTCAACTTTTAAATTTTTTAACTGAATACTTAATGACAGCATGATTACCCGCTGTCAACTTCTCTATGAGGTGGCCAACAATTTCCAAATGCATTTAAAAAAAAAAAAAAATTAAATAAATAAGTTTTTAGCAGAAATAAAAAGTTGACAGAACTATGTATTAACATAACGAACTCTACATCAATCGTCTCTGTTAGTGCTGTATAGCATGGTAGTAAAAGCATATTTAGGAGCAACAGTTTTGAATGCTCATTATTTTCTTTTTATATTTCAGATTGTATTTGCTTCCGGTTGCAGAGGGATCATTGTAAATATCAAGAAAAGAGGGAGGGTTCTAACAGCGATATAGTCAACTGTGTTGCAAGGCTAACCTAAATATATATAAAAAATGGCTACTCCTGTAACTAAGACCATCAAATTCGTTTGAATTTCAAAACTGCTATTCCCTCTGATAGAGCAATAACATTGTACATGCACTTTAAGGAAATATTTGATGCTTAATTTTGTTTTAAAAAGTTATTTCATTGAGAAGGGTGAGTAGCAAGTTAGTCTTCAAAGGCAATTGAACCTCAACCTAGTTTCCTAAATAAGCTTTGAAGAGATAATATTATTTTGTTAGCAGTGAGTCTGATTATGAAAGCACTTTTTCGTCAATTCTTATGAATTTATATAATGAAGGTATGAAATAGCTGTCATTTCTGTCATTTTTCATTTTGCATAGATAACTTGGTATATCTGTATTACGGATACGATCACTAAAATCAAATTTAAATTATTGTCAAATAATTCCTGGCTTTCTAAGAACACATGGCTTAAAGAAGATCCCTTTATATTGAAAACCAAATTACAATACTGTTTATTAATTTGGATACAGAAAGTAAAGAGATAAGAGTGTCTACTCCTCGTAGGTCAAATCTTCTTCTTCATCCTCAAATGCTTCATTGATATACCTCGACAACATGACCATCCTCAATCTTGATACCTTCAAAATATCATCCAGTTCTGTTTTCAGGAACCTAACAACAGCAGCAAAGTTACTTCCAACTTGTATAAGTTTTGAGAGTAATGAATTTCGCACCAGCTACTTCAATCCATTTTTCTAAACCGTATATTCTTACATTGGCCAGTTTGTTGTGTGGAAACGCCTTTGGTGTTGCCAGAACGTAGACGTTGAGGCTAACTACGAATGCTTGGGCAGCATTTGCATGACGAATAAGTTCATGATTGGACTTCTCATCGGGGAAAATGCTCCCTATAAATTGAGTAAAGGCTATTAGACAATAAATAGTAATTGTAATGAAAAGGTATATTATTGAGCTTACCAAAGCATTCGCGGTATGCCTCCTTTGCAACTAACACTCTCTGATTTTTTGCTGCAGCTGCTGCCAGCAATGCGCTGCTTATAAGCGTCAACGTAACTTTCAATGTTCTTGCCAACGACAGAAGCAGCCCAATTATGCTGCATTTTTCATTTTTCTTTGGCATTCGCATGATTTCTAAGCTCCTTGAACTTGCGGCTGTAGGCATCGCTTTCATGCTGCAGTAGCTGGATAGAGGGGTGATGAGACCCGTTCGGATCCAATAGCTGCTGTAGGTTGTTCACGATGCCTACTTTCGCTTCCTCGACAGAGTGCTTTGCAGTATAAAGTGCTAAAATAGGCATTAAGAATTCAATAGTTGAAAAGGGTACAGACTCGTCTGATGTACCTGCAGGAGCTGTATCTGTCGAATAGGCCTGGCAGCTACCATAGAACTGACTGTCTTCTGGAGCTTTGAGGGCCTGCTGCTTGGTTTACGTGTTCTTTTCGAAGCTACTGGGACACTTTCTTTGAACATTCCGTCTATACTGGCAACAATGTACTTGACCGAACCCTAGTAATATAAAACATACCATATATATATAGCCGAATATAAAGTTCAGTACTGTTTTTATTCTTTAAAGAATAATGACACTTTGTTACACTGCTGTTTTTGTTACGCCACGATTCTTCCGTCCTTCTACTTGTTCTTCTACGCTTTAAGGCACCGCAAATGGTTCTACTTTTTGTATTCGGTATTAAGACCTACTTTAGAACCGTTTGTTCAATTCCTAAGTCTTATTATTATAAGTGGCAAGGGCTCATAATAACTCTTAGTTTCTGTTTTGCGTACTGGAAGCCGTATACTGCCTTGTAGAGATTTTAACTGTCTCTCGCAAATAAATGACTGCTTAAGCAGTAATAACAACTATATTCAACAGTAAGCAGCATTTCATACAATCATTTACAGGGTCCGGGCTGTAACTTTCGACGATAAAAGACATGTTTGAAGTGAGCATTTTGAGAAAATTTCTCCTCTGAGTTCTATTTTTTTTTTTCTTTCCCAATTTTTTCTGTTAAAGTGTTCTTTTTACAATAACTTTTCATTCCAAGATAGTTTACTTCAACAAGTTTCAGCGCAATGAGTAAACACTTTACTTCTAGCCAGAGCGGAACCTTTTATAACATTTTCAAAAAGTAAAAGAAATTGTTAACCTTGTGTAGTTTAATAAAAACAGATGTAGAAGAAACTGACTTTGCAGCATTTATCGAACTATTTGGAAATGACTTAGTACGTCTCCAACAATAGGCAGTTCTCTCTTAACACCTTTTAAAGATTCCAGTACATCTGACACCTGCGCGGAAACTGAGCTTGATCCTTTCAATGGATCTGCGTTGCCGAAAGTTGATGAAAAACAAGCAACAGAAGAAGACGAAAGCATTGAAGACCTTAATCATCGATTTATTGCAAGCCAATTGTTAGATGACGACAACATTGACTTCCCTCCAGATAATCAAGGATTAAACAAAGTCGCCAGTATTACGGAACCAAAAAACGCGAGTAAAAACTATTATAGAACGAATGGTGGTCTTTTATGCACTCCTGTTAGTCCCATTAATTCTTCCATTTCCTTTACTTCAAATTCAACAAACAAATCGATATGGGAAACAACAACGACAAGAATTACAAAATCTGTAAAGGAAGACAATTATTATGGTAATGATTATGAATTTGATCCTACTTTGCAATATTATCATGGTGAACTCTATGACACAGCGACTATACGAGACTTGGACAGGTTATCATTGCAGGCTCAAGTACCGTCAACAGAAGAACTACAGGATGATAACGTGGAAGAGGATATGTCATCTTTGCAAATGCTACAGACGATATTTAAAGACCTAAGCGAAGCTGAATTGATTGCTGCTTTGGAAACTTACGATTATGATGCAGATGCCGCAATTGATAAACTGATTCAAAATAAAATATTGAAAAAAACTGGGGAACAACAAGAGTTGAAAGACGAAAAAGAACAACAATACACGCCATCGTCGCAAAAAGCAACGGCACCAACTGTGCAAATGATCAATGAGGCACAAGTTGTAGAGAGGGCATCAAGTAAAATAAATATAGCGCCTCCTTTACCATCACCGGCAGCAGCGGCCTCACTACAGCAATCATACTCTGTACGCAAAAAAAGGCAGGTTTGCAGGCATTTCTTAGCAGGTGAATGTTACAGGAAAGATTGTTGGTTTTCTCATGACCTTCAAGATAAAATTTGTAAATTTTGGCTTCAAGGAAGCTGTTTAAAGGGGAATGCCTGTGAATTCTCGCACAACATCGATTTGCAAGAAATAGCAAACAAAATAACAACGACTACAACAAGCGCATTACCCACAGCAGTAACAAATTTGTATAATTCAGAGGAATATCCTGCACTTATGGCATTGGGAAATGACAATAAAAAGAGCATTGCTAGCACACAATCCATTACAAACAGCCAACGCGATGTATCAGTCGAGGAAGAATTTCCTACATTGGCATCCGCTGCTAAGATAGCTTCAAACAAGAAAGTAGTAAATAAGAGCAGCTCTACGAAAGCAACTAATTTTGCTGACGTGGCAAAGAAGAAGAAGGACGAGCCGATCAAAACAAAGCAACTATTGATGAAAAATAATAAATATCGATATAGTTCACAATCTTACAGATATACAACTCATGAATTGTCTCAGCCAGTCCATATTCCTTGGTTAGAAACCGGCAGTTCTTTGAATTCAGTTTATCTAAAAGAGGTAAGAATGACAAGGAAGCACAATATAACATAATACTGACTTGATTCTCCCGTCATTGCCAATTTTCCCTTGATAGAGACAAAAAGCGATCGAATATGGTACGCTTCGAAATAGATTTTTTAACAAGGCAACTGAGTTCTACTTGAAAGGGGATGGAGCCAAAGCCAAGCTTTATTCTATGGAGGCCAAACATTATAACAGACTAATGCGAGAAATGCATGCAGAAGCAAGTAAACGCATTTTTGAGTCGAGGTCTAAAAATCAAGCATTTATTGATCTTCATGGTCTGCATGAAGATGAGGCGATGGAAATTGTAGATGAAAGATTAAGATGCCTTAAAGGAAAATATTCAGGTATCATTTATATAGTAACGGGCACAGGGAACCATTCAGGTTCGTCTGGGTTGAGCAAAAAGCAGAGTAAATTGAAGCCGATTGTGTATCGCTACTTGAAAGATCATTATTATCATTTTGCCGAAGCGAGTATCGTGAATGATGATCAAGGAGGCATTTATGCTGTAGAATTATTATAAGTAAACTACAAGTATCCCGCAAATCAATTAAAGAACGAGAATTATACCCTTATTGTTTTATCTGGTTTACCATGTAAATTCAACTATATTGTTAAAGATAGTTAGGGACAGGATCGCTAAATTCGTCTTGTCTTTAGGCGATCACAAGAGCTGGATATGCAGTAATTTTCAATAATTGGAGAATTAGAGTAGAATATGATAATTTGATAGCAGTAAGGAGACTAAACCGGGATGATAGTCTACTAAAGGTAATTAATGAACACCTTTAACTAATTGACCTGAGCCATTTCGAGATTATCAACATTACAATTTGAATTAAAGAAGTATGCTCAATAATGTGAAATTGAATTATTTGAAAAGTTCTTTAAAAATACAGAGCTTCATTATCCTTACGTAAAAGTCTGGGCCTTTTAATTCGTAATACTATCTTTTAATACGAAGGCTTCTAAATCTACCAAGTCATTTCAAGATGTTAATGAAATCTTCAGCATATATATGCTATAGGAGCTAATTTTTTAAAACCTGCACCTTGTAGGTTTATACCTACTTTGAAGATAAAATTGGTCCACCCTTGTTGCGCTTGCAGTAGTTTAACCAAAATTGCTGCAATTAATTAATTTTGCTTGAAGGCTTCATTATATTGTCAATACGTGGACAGTCCATGACGAGACAATCATATGTTTTCCTCGATAGACGCTTATGCGGTCGCATGTGAGCGTTTCAAACATGATCCCCGGGAGTTTTTTTTTATTTAGAGGTAACTCTCTTCATGGAAGTGATATGGTATCCTTTTTTTTTTTTTTTGTCTATTTGCTGCAAATTCCCTTCCTCCATAATCACACCTTGTCCTTAGGATACCAAAGATTCAGGTTAAATAGTTGCGCTTATGCTGATAGACCATCATCTTCAGTTAGGTGTCCTGATAAACAACTACGCATGGTAAAGTACAAGTTTAGTAAAAATACTGTAGACCTCTTTTGTAGAATGATCCAAATACACATGACCTCATGATGATAGTGATTTTGCCTTTTGTTTTTGATCAAAGTGTGATAATATATAGCTTTGAGGCAGCACTATAATGACACACTTGATCGTAAGAAGAGTACTTTGTAGGTTCTTTTAGTAAGCTTCTTTTTACAGCTCCAATGGAACATTAAAAGGTGCAATAAGTAGACTTGATTACTTGAATGACAATGTAAAAAGTAAGAAAGTAGCATTTAATTGATAAGTTAACGAAGTTTACTGCAGTCTTTTTAGGTGCTTAGTTTACGCGAAAGCAGTTTTCACTAATGTACAAAAACAGTAATCCGTTGTCGGTACTGTCTTGTTTCTCTATTCATTGATTTCTAATTAACAAATTAACAGTGTGGAGTATGCTCATCTTGTGGTATTTGACGACTTGAGAGTTAAATATCACTTAGTTAAAACAGTAAAAAGCTTAACGAGATCAAACTAGTAGGTTTTTATTTTGAATCAAGTTCAGTTCCCAGAGAAGAAAAATATCTACTGCAAAAATTTAAATATCTTCTTCATATTGCGGAACCTAGAAACTGACAGCTGAGTTATTCTACTCAAAGAAGACGTACGTCTTCTGAACCGTAAAAGAATAGAATTCTCCCTTGAGGAGATTACGCATCTACCCGGAGCGGGTGGACTTGTAAACGTATCCATGGCTTGATCTAGTGATCATGCAACTAACCTATTTTCCTGTGCTAACCATTATTGTAGCACTGCTTGCAGGAAAATAGAATTAATTAGGAAAATGATATTCGTGTGTGGTGTTTGAGTTGAGTGAACAGTTATTGTAAAGGATGATCACAAACTATTATCTTGTAATCATTCTTTATGCCGAAGGCAGAGAATAGTACTTATAACCTATTATACCTTGGTGTTGAATCAATATATCCTGCATGTCCATATATTAATTCTACTATATATCCTGTATCATATAGTAACGTATTATAGCAAAATAAGTAAACTATATATCCTAAATGACAACCTGTTCAGCCCTATACGAGGTATCTAATCTCGTATAAGAATCATCACTTATTCTATATTCGTTTCCTACTCTACTTTATATTATTTCAGCAGTAATGAGGTGTGAGGATCTTGTATAATTTGTATACGAGTTCTCCACATCTCATATGATGCTGTCAACTAAACACAACACTTAATTCACGGTACTCATATATTAGAGTTTATGTAGTTTCTAATTATTTCTGGTTTGCAATATTATATAATTCATCTTTATCCTTCATAAAGTGAATTATGTCTTTAATATTTGTATATCATCTACCCTCAAATACGACAGTAATGACTAATGAGTTAGGTGCAAATGTCTAAATTGTACAAAACAAAAACGGAAAAAAGCATTAAAAGCATTAAATGAATGGTACGAATAGTAATTGACTCCATTAGAACTCAGAAATCCCTTCGCTTTTCTGTAGGCAAGTAATCTTTTGACATCTCTCATTTTATGCGTGATATCCAAAAGTTCGCCCATCGGTCAATTTTCCTAATTGATGGGTGATCGGTTCATGCAAATGCCACAAACTATATATGAAATAAGAGTTTGAAGGGTCCTTATTCTATTGCTCGTTTTCATTTTGTATCTTTATTAAGGAAAACTAATAATAAAGTTGCGATTTATGCAAAAGTTGAAAACATTGACGCAGTTTTGTGAGTCACTGTAAAAGACAGATAAATGAAATAAAGATAAAGGGAAGCTTTGTTCTTTCATCTCTCTAAAAATCAGGATCCTAATAGTGTGATAAAAGATAAGTAAAATAAATAAGAAGCTATCCTCTGTCGTACCACAAAATTACAGTATATAAAACTTCAGTAAATGTAACAGTAATAATCCTATAAGAATATGAATGTTGCAAAAGAAATAAACGGCATCCTTTCTCTCCCTTTTGAAAAGTGTTATTGAATTGTATAAAACTTGCACTAATTGACGAGGCTATCATTTCAAGCACGACACCTCCCAGACGCGACAATTACAGCTAATCGAAGTACTGGTATAAAAAATGATTTACGGTAGACTAAACATAAGCTGGTTCATACCTTTCGTATCTCATACTAGCAAAAATACGGGCTTCTCCGGGAATCGAACCCGGGACCTCTCGCACCCTAAGCGAGAATTATACCACTAAACCAAGAAACCACCTTTCTTTTTGTAACAGCAAATTGTGATTCGATGGGATGCACCAAAAGTACCAGTCACGTGCACGGTGCTAGTTCAGTTCCCGACGGGGATGACGCATGCAGTACTAGAAAAAGGCGTCATTCACATCCCGATGGAAAGGAGTCGAGCTCGGAGTGGAGGAATGCTAACTCCACTAAAATTAAAAAAAGATTTAGGCCCAATGTACAGAGGGCTAAACAGATACAGAGCAGACATAGGTAATATCCCTCAAGAATGTAGATGGGCTATTAATTACAATTATATTGTTGTATATATTAATTTAGTAAAATTACTCGATAATGTACATAATCTTTAGATATCTTGACTATATAAAAAGATAGAGATTTTTAAAAGAAAAATAAAGATTATTCAAGTTTTATCTTCCATTTAATCTTACGGGTCGAACCTTAGGTAGTTCGGTACATTATACTTATAAACACTGACAGTTGGTAGCAACAGCTTTGGAAGAACAAAAGAAGATGGCTACTCCACCAGCACCTCCCCCCAGAATTTCACCTTCTATCAGTACATCTACTGATAATGGAAGAAGACTACCGGTTCCTGACACTTATGATGGTAGAAGAGACGCCATGGTCATAGACAGCTGGATCCGATCAGTCGACCGCTACTTAGGCTTTTACGGAGACTGGACCGACCAGAGAGCTCTCTTGTGGCCGCCCTATTCAGGCATAGTGCCGATGCATGGTATCGAACAATCGAATACACGGAGGAGCAGCCCAAAAACTGGCAAGAACTGAGACAAATGGTGAGAGATTTTTTTAGACCTGAAAATACAACACGTATCACCCGTGACAGAATAGCCAATTTAAGACAAACTGGCTCCCTGGTGGACTTCATCAATGCTTTTATGGACCTAAAGGTAGCACTACCTAGTATGACGGAGGAAGAAGCATCCGACAAATTTATACGAGGCCTGCAAGACAAGAACTTACGCACGTATGTCCGTCAAGAAGAGAAGGATGTACCCTCATTGAAAACAGTAATCAAGGCAGCTCTTACATATGAAAGTGCCCATCAAGAAGAAAGCTTGGATGCCTACCCAACACCCCATTCCCTACACCAGCCAGTCATAAGGAACACCACGTATGGAAATGGTTTCAGGGAGGAAACAACGGTAGAATTACACCAAATGGACGGACGAGCCAGATATCAAGGACGAAACAGCTATAATGTGGACACTTATACCATCGAAAGAAGGGGCCCTCAAAACAACAATTTTCACCGATATACAAACGATAGAAGGAATAATAATAATACAAACACCTGTTTCTACTGCCACCAACCAGGTCACATAAAGCGCTATTGTAAAATCAGAATAGCCGACATCAAAAGGATGGATGAACAACACTCTCGACAAGCACGCAATAGAAGAACCCAATTATATAAGATAGATAACATTGCTGCTGACCCCCCTTCTGAACAAAATAAACTCATTGACTTTGACAATTATTTACCTGCTATCGATGAGAACAAATTCCCTGTGTTGATGCCTTTGAAGTTAAACCCATACATAATCCCAGAGGAACTACTGCCTATTCATCATAAATCTGATACTATACAAGAATTGCACCATTTAGAAGGTTTAAACAGTATAGCCACAACACTACCTTTATATACCGGTATTTATAAGGGAAAGAAGGTGAATTGTTGATCTTCAAAGAATTAAGGTTAATTAAAAGAGTTAGAATTCTGTGAGAACTTGTTATACTCTTTATTCAGTGAAAATCGTACAAAAGAAAAACATATCTAGATTATGAAAAATTTTCTATCTTTTATAGGATGATGTGTTGGGCTGAATAGAGCGGGTTTAGCCGGTGTCATATAGACTGTTGTTTCATCAAAGACACGGGTACCTTCACCATGGTTGAGCGCGGGTACTTACTCATTGAGAGGTTAATGGATCGGACTGTAAGCAATTGGCGACGAAATATATAAATAGAATGATAAGACCACTAACCAATGTCCGCTTTCTGACAGATCATTGTGAAAGAGTGAATTATTATTGAAGTACTATGTACTATGGATCTGTTAACCTCATATGTAGCATTTGTAGATCATAATTAATATCAGTCGCTGTATTTCA